ACTCTGCCTCCACCCTCTGGAACTCCATCCCGTAGTCCCTCTGCCTTGATCTCTCCCTTGCCTCCTTCAAGACTTATCTCAAGACCCTCCTCTTCAACTGTGCCCTCAAACACCCTCGTTCCACCCCTGCCCTCCACCCTCCCCGATCCCCAACTCGGATCCAAAACACTGATTGTCCAGCGCCTCGGGACATCTTCCCATCATGAAAGGCTCTATACAAATGTAATTTTGTTGTTGCTTATTACATTGATCAACCAAAATATTCAAACTTTTTTTTAAAAAATACCAGTAACATTTTCAGTTACTCCATTTCATTACAGCACAATACAGTCTTACATTTATCAATCTTGGTGCAGACCTAAATCTACAATATAGGTGCTATCTCCAGTAGGGCAACAATAAATGTGAAGGTTGAGCTATGGATAATAAATCACTCTAGTTTGTGGTTTATGACATCACCCATTTCAGCTTTGCTGAATTAGCTGAACTCAGATGGGGTAGCAATTAACCTCAATATCCTGGGCTAGAGGAGAAATCAAAAAGGATTCCTATTGCTAATTAGTATTTAGTGTCTTTTGCTTGATGGCGAGCTGGATGATGTGTTAATGTTGAGTGGGGACAGGATTGAGCTCAACTGCGACGCCATATAGTCACCGTCATGTAGTCTGCCAAGACTCCTTGGCAATGCCCACAATTTGATGGCAATAAATTTACCTTGTTTCATAAATGTGACTGTACACATTAAGTGAAATGTTTGAAACATATAAAACGAGATGTTAAATACTGGGCTCAGTTTTTCTGGAGTTAATGAGAAAGTGAAATGCAAATGTTATGGTCACTTACTAACTACCTGAGGTAGAAGAGAAACTCATATCATACTCAGGTTCACCTTCAAAGTGAACACCTTCAAAGTAAACATTAAAGGATCAAATTCCTCACTGCAGTGGGATTAGCATTCCTTCCAGATTATAATCTTTATCTCAAGGACAACTAGGGGGAAAATAGCACAGGTATAAGATAACCAAGGCACGTGCTCTCTAATATAATGCATAACCTTCCAGGAAAATGATCTCTTGCAATAAATAAAATTGGATAACTCTCAAAGACAAACACCGGTACCATTTCCTGTGAAGTGGGCGTTGACAAACTGGAAACCAACTGCAGCAGTGTAGTGTCAGTGGGCAATTTAGCCATCTGAGGGCAGCAGTACTTTTGTAATCCAAGAAAGAGCATGATGCAAACAGAAGGGTCCAAATTGTTCTTTCCTTCTGCTTTCCACAAAAGCTACAAGGAAAATATTTCATATCAAGCTATCTGAGTGACAGAACTAACCAAAGGGATACACCACTGTTAGGATAAGGAGAAAACAAGGTATCAGTGGAACAAGACAGAAAAGGTCAAAAGGACAAGAGCTAGAAAAGCTGGTGAGAAGAAACAGCCAATAAATCTCTCACATTGCATCAAACCCTGGATAGTTGTGGGTCCTCATGTAGCTTTTAAATATTTAAACGATTCCAATAGATCAGATTGAAACGACCACATTCTTAAATTACATCAACTCACCAAATCTTTGATCACTATATCAAAAACCCAGGCCACAAAGGTCAAAATCCTTCACTCACTGATGCTGCCACAAACCCATGATACCAATTCCTCAGCAATAAAAGCCCTCAATCATACACAAAATAGTTTTCAACATACAGACTAACTAAATGTCAATCTATATATTGCGATAAAAATGGGAAATATTTCCTTAAAAAAACAATAAATATATCACTTAACAGGAATGGGAAAACAAACTTGCAAACAAACCTGTAGAAGTCATTGGAAATTTACTTTTAGCAAGTATCAGATCAGGCCCATTCATATATAAGGATGGACTCAATCATCCCTTTTCCCAATGTCATCTTCTATGTAAATATATCGAATTGTCGGCAACAAAATTCACCTTGTTTAAAACTGGGTTAAATATTTTGGTTAAATGAAACTATATCAAAGTATCATAACATCACAAGAGAGACTAGGATGAAAGGACCCTCTGACCTTGAGCTCACCTTTCCATAATAGCAATCCTATAGTCTTTCCTTGACAGTATTGCACTGTTTCGTAAACGGTTCAGACCTGTATCGCCCCTCCAGGTAAGTTTTTTTCCCATTTGGGTAAAGAAATATTTCTTGTTGTCTGTTCTAAATTGCCCTTCACAACCCTGTATCTTGCCTTTTATCTGCTACCTTGCCACATATAAAAGTATTTTTCTGGATTTACTTTATTCTATTTTGTATCTCATATATTGATAAAAGGTCCAATTTGAGATGTCTCTTCCAGTAAAAAAAAAAGCGGGAATCAGTGGAGGTATATTACATTGGATATGCAATTGGTTGACCAGAACAATCCAGAGGGTGGTGGTACAGAGAATGTCATCAGACCGGAAAAATGTTACCAGTGGAGTTCCAAAAGGGTCTGTTTTGGGACCACTTTTGTTTAATATTTTTGTAAATTAGGAGTCGCAAGCACAGTGGCTCAGTTTTCAGATGACACCAAGCTAATGAAGGTGGTAGATTGTGAAGCTCAACAAGATAGATTACAGGAGGATTCGAACATACTTGGGTATTGGGCAGATCGGTGGCAGATGAAATTCAATGTGGAGAAATGTAAAGTATTTCACATGGGGACAAAAAATCCTGGAAGAGACTATTGTTTGACCAGAAGGAAAATAATATGTATGGAAAATGAAAAGGACCTGGGGGTCCTGACTGATAATAAATTAAAGCTCTCCCAACAAAGCTCTGTGTCAGTGATAAAGCGGATATTGGGATGTATCAAAAGATCAATAGCAAGCAAAAATAGTGGGGTAATCCTGCCACTGTATAAATCATTGGTGAGACCATACTTAGAGCACTGCGTACAGTTCTGGTTGCCACAGTACAAAAGAGATATTGAAGAAATCAAGAAGATACAGAGGAGGGTAACCAGAATGATTGAGGGAATGGAATAGATCATGACAGGCTGTCTCAACTTGTCCAGAATAGTAAAACCAGAGGACTCGGATTGCAATTGAAAGGGGGTAAATTCAGAAAGAATCTATGCAAACACTACTCCAGTGAGCGAATAGTGATCCTGTGGAACAGGCTCCCTAGGGAGACGGTTTAAGCAGGAAGTATTGCTTCTTTCAAACACAGATTTTTTTAGGAAATAACATTATGGGATTTAGTGCACAGGTAACTTGGGACATATGTGCATGCGACCGCAAGGAAGGTGGAAGGCGAACTAGATGGACCTTGGTCTTTTTTCGTCCAGCATTTCTTATGTTCTTATGTTAAGAGCCCAGCTTATCTACTCATTCCTCAATGTTAGGGTCCAGTTCTTACCAATTTGATAAATTAACCTCAAAATTATGGTTAACCTATTTTTTCATTTAACCTATTCATTGTGCCCTCAGCATTGCTTTTCCTTTCGTTGGTTTTGTGCTATCTGAATTGCTGTGGATCAACCAATAGATGGCAACAGTGTAACAATGACAGCAATTTAGCATTTTGTTCAGTTGCATTACCCATCCACATTTTTTTATGGGATTGTAATAATAAATAAGTTTTAAATTGAATATTTTGTGGAGTTAACTTAAATAGTTATGTCCAGTTTAATTTGCCTACAAAAGTACAGTCACTACACTTTACAGTGAATCCAGTGAAGTGCTTTGAGACGTTGGGAAAGCCGCTATATCAAATGCAAAAGTTTATTATTAAGATGATGTTACTATCTTCATGCCCTTGTATGTTTTCCCTTACTCTGGCAGAGATGATGGGTTGAATCTTCTGATCTCAGAAGTGCATAGGGGAAGTCCGAGGAAGTGTCCCACAACCAGCCCTCTGTGACCCATTGAAAGGTGTTTAGCCTCCACTTGGAACCTCCCTGCAGTCATGCACTTGAGATCAGATGTTCTGCCAAGTGAGGAATTGAATTGTGTCACACCACTCAATGGTACCATATGTTAGTTCTCCAATGAAATTTGCTGCTGTGACAACTGTTCAGGTCAATGTTGTTAACATATACAGCAGTAGAAACAAGCACTTAATATAACTCCTAATCAATCATGTCAGTATCTTTCCACATTAGAGTCTGCAGTCCATTGAAGTTCAGCTCAGATAAGATCACATCTCTGACAATCTGAATTTTTGTTAATGATTAATTCCTGTATTGTTTTATCTCAGGTGAAGTTAAACACATTGTAAGATTAACTTTCTTTCAACCATACAGATTAGATCCAATGCATTTGAAAGGGTGTTTTATATGCACAATTAGTATCCTGACAAGTGGTTGGGAAATTCTCATGAAGGGTCAATCATTGAAATAAAACATTTTAGATTTTGAAAAAAATCATTACACGGATGAAAAGATAAAAGCAAGCTGATCATTTGTGAAATAACTCATTAAAGTAACAATCCTATTAGATCTAAATATTAATTAACACGGGAATCCAAAGGAAAATGTTTTAGGACTCAGTGGAATCTGAGTCTAAAAGCTAAGTACAGTATGTTATTGATGGAATGTTAACGAACTCTTTGGATTATTATCAAAAAAAATTGAATTCCTAACATGTGCAGAATCTATGATCAATAAAATTAACGTAATTTTCTACTTTTAGACCTTGAAATCAAATATTACAGCTTCACTTGTTCCTATATTTTATCCTTCCATTGCATTTTCCAATTCACTGTAGTTATAATAGTTTTTGTTTTGAAAGGATATAATTCATATCACGCAAGCTGAATGATTAGATATCTACTGGGCCAAACAGTAAAACATGATGGTGAATGGTATTTGTGCACTATCTCAATTATATTAAAAACAGGAAAAACGTATGAGATGAGAAAATACCATTTGATCTATGGAACCTCATTCCTCTAACACATTGGTAACAACACCGAACATCAATACAGATATCGTTCTTGTTCAAACATACCAAACGTGTATATCTGCAAGTCTTCAGAATGGCGTCTTACCTGAGTCAACCCCAAGAATTTCAGAACTATTTATAAAGTTCCACGGCATTTTATAGCACTGGTCTCTCTCACTTTCGAGGATACTTTGCAAATTGCATTCCGGTGGGGTGGCTTTCACCTGAGAAAGGAGATGGATGAATACAGTAACACCTACGTCCACAGTTCTTCCGTTATAAAAGATAAGACACTTTATACAGCAAAGTTTTATCGAAGTGTAAGAACATAAGCCCCGGTAATAAAATATAACATTTTTCTTTTTTTAATACAAGTCTTAAATACTATACAACCAACTACCTAATGATTTCATTTTTCTAAAAAAAGCACTTCAACTGTTAAATGCAAAGATTAACGCAAAGACACCATTGATCGATTAGGAAGAGAAACCGCGCGGGGACTCCCTCACACCGTCACACACGGTACCTGGAAATGGGAACAGTTTCAAGAAGAGTAAAATAAGATTGTCTCTCAATTCAACATTACAGGATTTATTATTTTATTTTAAAGAAAGATATTGATGTCGAGGATGTAACGATATGTTGTATTATGAATGTATACGGCAATAAAAACGTTAAAAATCCGCTTCCTCTGGGGTCACGGTGGGAACTATTGGCGCTTCACCAAACAGCCCGCAGTGAGCTCGGCCGCTACACTGTTATCTTGCACATGGGTTTGTTTGGTTTGGTTCGATAGGAAGATTGATTAAAGTTTATCATAGCGTAACCCTCTTCTTCGACAAGACATACGGTACCGAATATTTCTCCTGCGTTCTGAAAAAAATGGCCAAAACATTAAAACACAACTCCCTCTTGACTTGTCTTCTCTCTCTCTCTCTCTCCTCTCTCTCTCTCTTGCCTGAGTCTTCAGCGAAGCAAATAAATCCGCGATTGCATATCACAATTAATCACAAAGAAAGATGAAAAGGTTTACTTACTGTGAGAAGGATGTCCAAATAAATGAGAAAGAGTAGGGTCCTCATTGTGTAGCTGAGCCCCAGACCTTGTACTGCAGCCGATGTGCACATAATTGTAACAGATTAGAGCGAGTGCAATAAACCCTGTCCAATTAAATGTTGTAAATTGTAGATTTGTTTTAGGTTCTGATTCGTCAGAAACCCAGAGTAACTCGGTTTTATTGTTCTGTGAAGAACCTTCGGACGCTTTGACCAGAGACGGAGCTGCTAACCCGCCTTCTCGCTACAGGATTCCCCTTCAGCTTCACTGCAAACCTCTCCCGCCACCGACTGCAGTTTGACCATTTCACCTGAAACAGTGCGTGTTCCGAGGGCTACATTTACAGATCGCATTGACTCAATGAGAAGATCGTGGATTTTACACCATATAAAACATAGATCAACCTTTACTCTGTTGTTTTGAAAAAACACAAAACACTTAATTTTTCAATTTAAGAAAAATCATTATGTCATGACTTAAATTTGGAACTTTCTCTTCCAACTTTTACCGAGACATTCCTTTGTAAGCTGTTCTGAAACTGATCGTGATGCGCGACCTCTTTCCAATGCTGATAAATTATGTGGAAAAAAAACTTCAGCTTCTCGATCTGTTGGGAGCAAATGATCTTTCGTTTTGGTCGCTGTTCTGGAAACCACCAATAGTCTTCAGAGATCAGTCAATTTCTCATTTTCTTTTACTCACCAGCAGTGAGTTATACAATCCGCAGGAGGTGGGACATTGTCCAGAGGACAAATAACACAATTATAACACAAGAGACACTAAATGGCAGTTTTATATGCTTCGAGTAATATTATAAAACGGAAAATAGAAAGTCTCTGTTATGATATATTTAACTACATTTATTTAACAACAACAACAACAACAACAACGATAAAATTACATCTGTATAACGCCTTTCAGGTCGGGAGGACCACCAACGGCACTGGACAATCATTGAGATTCAGATCCGCGCTGGAGGTCGGGATCTGGGAGGGTGGGGCCCAGGGGAGGAAGGAGGGTGATCAAAGGCACAGTCAAAAAGGCGGGGCTTGAGATGGGTCTTGAGGGAGGTAAGGGAGGGGGCGAGGCAGAGGGACTGAGGGATGGAATTCCAGAAGGTAGGGGCAGAGTGGCAGAAGGCCCACCCGCCAATAGTGGGGCGAGCGAGGCGGGGGACGTGAAGCAGGCCGGAGCCCGCTGAGTAGATAGAGCGAGCAGATGGTAGGGGTCTAGGAGATCAGAGAGGTAGGGGGGAACAAGCTCATGGAGCCTGGTGCGGGAGAGGACACGGGCTGCAGAGTTCTGGATTATCTGCAGCCTGTGGAGGGTAGAGTTGGGAAGGCTAACAAGCAGGGCGTTTGCATGCAACATGACAGAACTCCTTTTGTATCTGAGGAAGATAAGATAGCTAGGAGCAGATATTAAAATCAAAACTGGAGCTACATGGTCCAGATGGGTCAATGGTACCTAATTTTTGACCCAAGAATGGCACTGAAGGTGAGAAGAGGTTATCTGCACATCTTTCATCAGTGATGTTTTTTGGTGGAAAGGGGGCAGAGTATCAAATAAAAAAAAATCAATACAGACTAAATATAAAACCTCATTTAATCTTAAAAGCTTTACAAAATATCTACCCTTGCCTCCAGCAGCCATCTGTTAAATAGTTATTGCAGCTACAAATTCTAAGTGCTCAGTTTGCATCAGAGCATAAAATTATGTATATTAGCTTTACCATTCAACCAGTTACCATTCAGTGGTCTGAGATTGTTAAACTGAGAGTAACTGTGTGTTTAGCCATACTGGTGGTAAGACTGTCTTCTGTTATAAATTAAGCAAACTTACCAAAATGAACTCGAAACAAATTGGATGTGGGAAAAAAATGGGTCTCATTTAGAAAACTGATAGGCTGTAAACTTTTGAATTCAGATTACAATTCAAATGAGAGTAACATACATCAGATAATTCATATTTTTACAATTATTGTAGAAAAAGGTCATTTTTTATTTTTGCAGCTGAATTTCTAAACCATTAAATTGCTTTGAACAATTTTTTTTAAAAATCAATTGTTATAGCTTTAATATTTTTGTCACTATTTAAAATGTTCTCTATCTTCACCAACAATCTTTTGATATTAATGCCACTCTAAACTCAAGAGGATGGATAAGTAACTTGCATCCAGGCTTTGAAAGAGTTGTCCTGACGCTCATTGTGTATCATTGAGATTCATAATAATGTTTATTTATGTCAATGGATTTAAATGTAGACAATAATTTTCTCCATCTATTGATTAATGGTCAATCTTGCTGACATAATATCTCAAAACAAGTAAGCTGGCTCTGCACTTCCTCTGTGAGGGAAGTTGACCAATTGTCCAGACCTTAGCAGTCGAATAGGTTAAGCATATGGTTGACACATTTATAGAATATATTGCCCGCTATACAAATATTTTTAAAACTTAGTGGAAAACCTATATTAATGAAAAATGTTTGTACAATACAGTAAAACTCACATAAGCCAGGACCATAACATTTTGTATGACTTACACAAAGCCCAAGTTGCACGCAAACTATATAAATCATACAAAATCCTATTTAATCAATAATCTACATTGTGCATTGTATTCTACATTCATTGCAGCTGGTAAGTCGACATGTGGTAGTTTGTCACTGCAACCGGTAAGTGCACATGTGATGACGGGTCAAAACTACATTCCATGCAGCTTGACCTGTCGCTGCATGCACACTTACCAGCAAGTATTGAATCGCTGGAAATGGAAGTTCTTCTGCACATGTGTTGACGGATCAAGACTATATTTTCCACGACTCAATGCAGCCGGCTGGTAAGTGTGCATGCGTTGCCGGGTCAGGGCGCCATTTGTCGCAATTTAATACAGCTGATAGCTGCTGAAGTAATGGAGGTTAGAGGTGCAGCATTATGAGTTAGGAGGTGATTAATGTAAGTAGTGCAAAGAAATATAAGTTTTGATAGGATGACTGGGACTCGGGTGGAAGGTACAAGTTTTAGGGGATTATATGATTTATAACGATAAGACTTATGTGAGCTTTACTGTATAACCACTTACTTACTTGCGCACATTTACAACACACGGCTTCTATTGTAGCCATGCTGTTTCAAGCACTGTTGCATAACAATATCTAAAAGTGTTTACATCGAAACCCTTTTTTTTCAGCTACTTTCAAACTGTTTCCTTTGATTAATTTACTACCAAATAAAGTTACACAAGAAGACATGGGGATCAGAACGTAGCATCAGGGAGGGGAAACGAGTTACATAGTGGACGAGGAGAGACAAATAGAAATGAAACAAGGAGGAGTCCAGCAAAAAGTGGAAAGAGACGGGGAAGAAATGTAGAGCGGATTAAACCGATATTGGAGTGCATGTGGGTAAATGCACGAAGCGTGACCAATAAGCTTGGTGAGCTGCAGGCTCAAGTTGCCACATATGGTTATGATGTAGTGGCAATTACAGAGACTTGGCTCAAACAAGGACAGGAAATGGGAGCTGAATATTCCTGGTTACAACCTATTCAGGAGGGATAGGGAAGGCAAAAAAGGAGGAGGGGTAGGAATACTTGTAAGGGTCACGTTCACGGTCCTGGAAAAGGACGATGTGTTAGAGGGTCCAAAAACTGAATCGATTTGGTTAGAGTTACGGAACAGAAAAGGAGCTGTTACTCTGTTAGGCATTTACTATAGACCTCCAAATAGTGGGAAGGAGATAGATGAGCAAATCTGCAAGCAGATTTTGGAGAGATGCAAAACCAATAGAGTATTGATAATGGGGACTTCAATTATCCGAACATAGACTGGGAAACACACAGTGTAAAGGGTAGGAAGGAGAGGAATTCCTGAAATGTGTGCAGGAAAACTTTCTGGAACAGCATGTTTCCAACCCAACGAGGAAGGAAGCAGTGCTGGATTTAGTTCTGGGAAATGAAGTGGGGCAAGTGGAGCAGGTTTCAGTAGGAGAGCATCCAGATAACAGTGATGTTAGGTTTAGCATGGGGTTGGGGGGGGGGGTGTTCCGTGTGTGTGACTGTGTGTATGGGTGGGTGTCTGTGACTGTGTGTCTGTGTGTGTATAGGTGGGTGTATCTGTCTGTGTGTGTGGTGTTGGAGAGAGGGTGGGGAGTTCTGTGTGTGTGTGATTGTGTGGGTGGTGGTGGGGTTCTGTGTGTGTGACTGTATGTGTATGTTGGTGGTGGTGGGTTCTGTGTGTGTGTGACTATGTGTGTGTGTGGGTGGTGAGGGATTCTGTGTGTGTGTGTGACTGTGTGTATGGGTGTGTGGTGGTGGGGGGGGAGTTCTGTGTGTGTGTGATTGTGTGTGTGTGTGTGAGAAAGGCGGTTCTGTGTGTGTGATTGTGTGTGTGCGGGGGGGTGGGGTTCTGTGTGTGTGTGTGACTGTGTGTGGGTGTGTGGGAGGTTCTGTGTTTGTGTGTGACTGTGTGTGTGTGGGGGGTGGGGGGGTGTCTGTGTATGTGTGTGGGTAGTGGGGGGATTCTGTATGTGTGTGTGTATCGTATGGGTGGTGGGGTTCTGTGTGTGTGGGAGGGGTGGGGGGATTCTGTGTGTGTCTGTGTGGTATGGATGATGGAGAAATCTGTGTGTGTGTGTGGGAGGGGGTGGGGGGTGGATTCTGTGTGTGGTCCCGACTCCATTGGCTCCCTATCCTTCAGAGGATCCAGTTCAAGATCCTGGTCCTCACCTACAAAGCTCTCCATGGCCTCGCCCCACCCTATCTCTGTGACCTCCTATCCCCCTACCAACCCGCACGCTCCTTCCGCTTAGCCGGTTCCAGCCTGCTCCACGTCCCCCGACCCACCCATCCCACCATTGGCAGGGGAGCCTTCAGCCACTCTGCTCCCAACCTCTGGAACTCCATCCCCAATCACTCTGCCTCACCCCCTCCTTAGCCTCCTTCAAGTCCTGCCTTAAAACCCTCCTCTTCGACCATGCCATTGTTCATACCCCTTCCCCTCCCCTCTCCCCCCTGACCCCAGCTCGGGTCTGAAATTCTGTACACTGTCCAGCGCCTTGGGACGTCCTCCTGATGTGAAAGGCGCTATACAAATGTAATGTTGTTGTTGTTGCAGGAATGTAAAATTAAACTTTGAGCAAAATCATTGAGATATATGTGTAAAAATCCTTGCCTTTTATATGGCACCTTTCAAGTCGAGGGAATGTTGTAAAGTGCTCCACAGGATTTACTTTAGAGTGTAGTAACTATAGTGAACATTAAATTGTATACTTAATGCTTTACAGGGAGGTTTAGTTTAAACCTTCAATAGAATTCTTGAGACAATTGTGTACAGTGTACACAGATGGCAACACATTGGTGTTCTCTAATTTAAAATTGTATTCCATTCAACTTGTCTCTTCAAATGATGTTTTTAAAAATAAATTGAGAATGCATCCTTAGGAGTCGTGGATTTTTAGTTCATCTGTATTTTTTTGTTTTGTGCATCAGTCAAAACAGGTTTTTTCGATCGTAACTCATCATGGAGGTGGAAAACAATAGTACCTTTCATCTCAGCAACCACAATGTTACGCTTGGGAAACAAACAATTCTTCCTCAAGACAGAATGGTTGAGGAGCCCAAACGTGGAAATGTACCAAATCATCTGCTGGAAACAAGTAAGATTGTTTTAAAGAAATAATTGAAGCAGATATAACAATTTAAACCAAAACCGAAGATAGTCTTATCTCACGATACATAACAGTTGCATAACCAGATTTTTACGCAAGTCATAACATTCTCTTTATATATCAACAATTCATTATATTCCGATTGGTAAATCAGAATATAAGAATTGGAATTCTGATTAGTTTTGTAAGTACAGTATATCATAATGTCTTTTAATTTTATTAATTTAGCTCATTTATTGTTGTGCATGGTGTGACTAGATGTGTTGAGGTAGTTCTTGCGATAGAACTTCATGTATAATAGTTAATGAAACTATTAACTTAATAGAATTTAAGCTTCTCTAATATTTACTGCATCCATTTAGTTCATAAAATATTAAGGCTGTGGACAGGTCAGTAATGACTTGTATTTCGTAGCCTGCAGCATTTTCTCCTGAGAATTGTTTTATTAAGAGGTCAGAGTGATTTTACACTGAGTACCCACTATAGTTGATTGAAGAGAGCAAGTGTTAATAATCTATGTTCTGCTTGTGCTGTAAAATTAGGATTACTTGCATGTGGCCTGGACTGGGAAGGTTAATTGAATCATAAAATACAAATTTATTGTTATCTTCATAAAATTCTTAATTTTCAACATGGCGGAATAAAATATATAAACTCTGATGTAATTTATGGAAATATGTAATGTTGTGCGGATGAGCCTTGGCCCTTCAGCAATTGTCTCAATAATTAAAATGTTTCAACCATTCTGCATTAGTTTTATTGTATAAAGTGCTGATAAAATGTTGATTGATTTACAAGAAAGTGCTCAACCTGAATATCTCCTGAAAATTCCAGGAATGTTTGATTTACTTTAAACCTTCTTATGTTCTTTATGCTCTGTTGTAGAGGTTTATGCCACAATGATGAGAAACAAAGTGATTCAGGCTCAGCCTCCTGTATTACATTTTGGAGGTTATGAGATTGGAAAACCTCACCAACAGACTCTGGTAAGATATATAAATAGTTCTACTCTAAAAAGTTCATCATCCAACCCAACTCAGTGTTTTGTTGTCTGGTTTATTAATGTAAGTAGGATATGTAATATGTAAATAATAATATAATAATGATAATCCTTGCATTTGATATAGCATTTTTCACGTCTTCTAGACGTCCCAAAGCGCTTGGGATGTCCTATGTTCTATGTATATATTATTCCAGACAATATTACGTCTGTGGTGTTGGACTTCTGGCCTTTGACTGCCGTCTAGTAGGATATTATAATTCTGAGATTTTATTTACCAGAACGCTAAACCTGCTAACTGGTAGTTTTGAAGGCTAAAATCTGGAAATTGAAAGATTGAAAATAGCCGCTAGGCTGCATCCTCCTCCCCCAGACAATCTAGACCACCACTCCTTCCACCACGGCCCCTACAACTCACACCTCCCTACACTTCTTTGCACCAATTACTCCCACCTCCCTCTCAACCATCATCTCCAAAATGAAGCCCACCACCTGCTATCTCGACCCCCATTCCCACCTAGTTGCTGGTCACCCAATTCCCCCTCCTCTGCCTGCTGCTGGCTGACACAATCAACAGTTGCTCTCCTCAGGTTCTGTTCCTCGCCCCCTTAAAACGACTGTCATCACTTCCCCACCTCAAAAAACCCACCCTTGACCCCTCCAACCTCACAAATTACTGACCTATCTCCAATCTGCCCTTCATTGCCAAAGCTCTGGAATGCGTTGTAGCTAACCAGCTTTCCTCTCACTTCTCCCTCCACAAGCCCATTCAGTCTTGTTTCTGCCATGGCCAGTGCCTTGGGTCGTCCTCCTGACGTGAAAGGCGCTATACAAATGTAATTTTGTTGTTGTTGTTGTCCATAGCACAGAGATGACACTTGTCAAGGTCACAAACGACTTCCTGTCTCTCTTTGACCAGGGTTCCCTCTGCCTCCTCGTCCTCCTGGACCGTTCTGCCGCGTTCGACACAGTCGACCACAGCATCCTCATCCACCGCCTCTCCTCAGTGAGACCGCAGTAGCCTGGTCCTACCTAACAAATTGCCTTCACTTTATCTCCTCAAATAGTTTCACCTCCCATCCTTGCCCGGTCACCTGTGGTGTATCTCAGGGTTCCATTGTGGGCCCCACTCCTCTTCCTCATCTATATGCTCCCTCTTGGTGATGTCATCTACAGACATAGGGTAAACTTCCACATGTATGTGGATGACACACAAATCTACTTCTCGTCCTCCAGCTGTGACTCCAGGTCCGCCGATGTTCTCTCAGATTGTCTGGCAGTCATCAGGGCCTGGATGAGCGGAAAGTTTCTACAACTGAATGTTGACAAGACGGAAGCCATACTCATTGGCTTCCGTCAACGTCTTCTATGCTGTGGCTCCGACCTCTTCAAGCTCCCCAGCCTATCCCTCCAGCCCCCGCACTGTCTCGTGCGGTGTCCCTCAGGGCTCTGTCCTCGGTCCCCTCCTCTTCACCCTCTATATGCTCCCCCTTGGTGACATCATCCGCAGACATGGGGTTAACTTCCACATGTATGCGGATGACACCCAACTCTACCTTTCCTCCTCTACCCTCAACTCCACGACCACCGATGTCCTGACAGCTGCCTGTCTGACATCGAGTCCTGGACAAGAGACAACTTTCTTTAGCTAATTGTGCGCACAACTGAGGCCCTCCTGATTGGCTCACATCAGCGCCTCCGCACCTCAGGCGCTGACAGCATCCCCTGCCCCAACCGCCCTAGCATCGGTGGCCGGGCCTTCAGCCTCTCAGCCCCTAGGCTCTGGAACTCCATCTCCCAGTGCCTTCGCCTTGCTTCCTCCCTTTCCTCCTTCAAGGCCGGTCTCAAGACCTTTCTCTTCGACCATGCCTTCAGCTCCCCTCTTGACTCTCTATCCCCTCCTCGCTCATTCCATTCCCTCCTCTCACCCTGACCATTTCCCCCCTGCTCAGGTCCCGACCCAATTGTCTAGCGCCTTGGGACGTCTTCCCGACGTGAAAGGCGCTCTATAAATGAAATCTTGTTGTTGTTGTTGTTGTTCGCAAATGCCCTCTTTGCCGGTCTACTCAGCTGCACCATACACAGAATCCAGCTGATCCAAAACTCCGCCGATCACATACTCACCCATACTAAACTCTGTACCCCATCACACCAGTTCTAGCCAGGCTCCACAAGCTCCGTATCACCAAACGGATCGACTTCAAGATTCTCACACTCGTTTTCAAATGCCTTCATGCCCTGGCACCACCCTACCACTCTGACCTGCTGAGACCACAACCCACAACCCGCTGCCTCCGCTTGACTGGCTCCAGCCTTCTGAATGTCCCTCAGGCCCTCCGCTTTCGGCCATGACATCCTGAAACTCTGGAAAACCTCTCCCCGGCTCGACCTCATGCTCCACCACTGTCAACCACTCTGGGACGCTACCCTGCATGAAGGTCACAATATAAATGCAAGTTGCTGTTGTTGAAGTTTAATGATATGGACGAGATACTTGCTGTTGGAAAGATTTATGTGTGTGTGTGTGTGGGAGGTGGGGGGTTGGAGGTTTCACAACTGGCTCAATCAATGAAGGTAAATACTGTATCACAAAATACAGAACTTAAATGTGACACCACTGTGTGTAAATGCAGAACCAATTGATTACCATATTTCACTAACAACAGCAAATTACATTTGTATTGCGCTTTTCATGTCAGAAAGAGCGGGGAGGGTAGGGATAGGAAGGTGACCAAAGGCACAGTCTAAGAGGAAGGTCTTGAGACGGGTCTTGAAGGAGGCAAGTGAGAGGGTGAGGCAAAGGCACTGTGGAATGGAGTTTCAATGGTGGGGCGGGCGAGGCAGGGGATGTGAAGCAGGCCGGAGAACCCGCTGAGCAGTGGGAGCAGACAGGTTGGTAGAGGAATAGGAGATCACAGCAGTAGGGAGGAGCGAGGCCATGGAGGGCTTTGAAGTTGAGGACCAGGATCTTGAACTGTCTCTGACGATTTAAAACTGAAGCCAGTTAAAACTAGCAAAATCAATTGTTTCCCATGAAGTAGTCAGTAGTGACTTGGTAGTGTAGGAAAGCCTCTCAATCTGTCAAGTTGGCTGATCGGTCGTGTATTGCAGCTGCCTATAGAATGCATCTCCCACCTCCCATTTGTTGTCCACTCTAGGTCTACTTGAAGACTTACTAGTAGTTATCTTATTTACATTTGTTGACAGTTGATGCTATTTTTTTGCTGTAAAATTGTGTGGATTGAAAAAAATGCCATAACAGGAATGGAAAAGTGAATTGAAGGAACTTACCAGAAACTAAAATGGAATAAGAAAAGGAAATTTAGTAAGCGGAAACATGCAAAAATGTTTTTGGTGCTTATAAACTCTAAGCTCTGGTGTTCTTTTTTGAGTGGTTCTGACCCTAAACTTGGGTACAAATAAATATCATAATTCAGTATTTAGTGACCCATATTCTTTCTATTTGTTAATGTGGAGATTCCACATGGCTTTACATCAATTTAAATTATTTTTTGTCACATTTTGTTTGACACGCAATATTGGTTACAATGTTAATGCTTACAAGGAATTATAAATAGTTCAGCTACTACCAAATAATGAAAATTACCTAAAATTGCCTAAATTTTGCAAAATGTTGTTAAGTATAGACTTTGGAGAATGACCACATACAACAACAACAACAACAAGATTCCATTTATAAAGCGCCTTTCACGTCAGGAGGACGTCCCATATAAAGGTTTTTAGTATTGACTTGTTGAAAGTTCCATTGTGGAATGTAGCTCATCATAAAATCATAAATGTAGGATATATAATAAGTTAGAACCATTCTGCTTAAAATTGTATTTTTCACAAATTAAAGAATGCACAGAAATATATACAGATGTAATGAAGGGTAAACTAAATGACTCAATTCTAAGAATAAATCCGCAGACATGGGGTTAACTTCCACATGTATGCGGATGACACCCAACTCTACCTTTCCTCCTCTACCCTCAACTCCACGACCCCCGATGTCCTGACAGCTGCCTGTCTGACATCGAGTCCTGGACGAGAGACAACTTTCTTCAGCTCAACGTGCGCAAAACTGAGGCCCTCTTGATTGGCTCGTGTCAGCGCCTCCGCACCTCAGGCGCTGACAGCATCAGCATCCAAGGCTGCACTCTCCACCTCTCAAAGCCGTCAGGAACCTCGGCGTTCTTTCAACCCTGAGCTGTCCTTTCCCCCTCATATCCGCACCACAACTGGCACTGCTTTCCATCACCTCCGAAACATCGCCAGACTACAGCACTACCTCACCCCTCACGCTGCTGAAACTCTGGTCCACGCCTTTATCACCTCAAGGCTGGAATATGGGAACTCTCTCCTCGCCGGCCTTCCCGGCACCTCCCTCCACAAGCTGCAGGTCATTCAGAACTCTGCAGCTCGTGTACTGTCCCGCACCAGGCTTCGGCACCACATCACTCCCATCCTCGCTCGTCTCCACTGGCTTCCCATCCCCCAGAGGATCGAATTCAAGATCCTCATCGTCAGCTACAAGGCCATTCACGGCCTTGCTCCCTCCTACCTCTCCAACCTACTATCCCCCTACATACCTGCTGTTCCTCTGGCTCCGGTCTGCTCCACATCCCCCGCCCCAACCGCCCTACCATCGGTGGCCGGGCCTTCAGCCTCTCAGCCCCGAGGCTCTGGAACTCTATCCCCCAGTGCCTTCGCCGCCTCCTCCCTTTCCTCCTTCAAGGCCGGTCTCAAGACCTTTCTCTTTGACCGTGCCTTCACCTCCCCTCTCGACTCTCTACCCCCTCCTCGCTCCCTCCCTTCCCTTCCCTCCCCTCCCCCTGACCATTTCCCCCCTGCTCGGGTCCCGACCCAACTGTCCAGCGCCTTGGGACGTCCTCCCGACGTGAAAGGCACTCTATAAATGGAATCTTCTTGTTGTTATTGTAAATGAAGATTTTAAAATGGTTCAAATTTAACAATTCTGAAATATTTGTTTTCTTACAGAAATTGATCAACATTTCTTCGGCAGTGATAAATGTTCACATAATTCCACCTCAGACAAAGTATTTCCAAATAAAATATTCCAAAAGAGTAAGTACATCATTTATATTTATTTTTGTCATCTGGTGTCCATTTACTGTACCTTTCCTGATCATCAAGGGATAAGAATATCATGCAGATATGTTAATTACTCTAAATACCTCAGTGCATGAATGGTAAATGATTTTCCTCCTTGCACTCAGTAGCACAGCTTAAACGCATTGGTTATACTTAATGCAATGTATATATTGTTGTGTTGTATTCCACAGAAATGTCTGGTGCCTGGAATGTCATGCACTGTTGCAGTTAATTTCTGTCCAGATGAATGGCGCTATTACTATGACTGTATTCGAATACATTGCATGGTGAGCTTTTAAATTTATCAGCACTGATAGCTAGCATATAAAATAAATGAATACTTGCATTTGTTCATTTTGCGATGTTTCTAAAGGTAACTCAGTGAATATTCTGTGGCCATTAACTGCCAATTTGAAACCTTGTCATAAGCTTTCTGAAAATTCAAGTACATATTAACCATATTAATCTTTTATAGGTCAGTAATGCTCTCGAACACTTCACTTGGTTAATCTAAGTTGATTGCTGTTCAACAGGCTGTATATTTTTCTTTACAGATATTCATCTTCAAAGTGATACAAATTAATTTGAGACTTTCTGTGTAACTGATATTAAACTTGCTAATTTATAATTTGTGGGTATGTCTCACAAACATTTTTAAAATAATGCAGATGTGTTAATTGGTTTCCAATGCTCCCAAATGTAGCACACTTAAATAATATTAGATAAGAATTATTCATTTCAACAACAAACAACAAATTACATTTGTATAGCGTCTTTCACAACGGGAGGACATCCCAGGGCGCTGGACAAATAGGGATTTGGACCTGAGCAGGGGATTGGGATCGGGAAACATGGAGGGCAGGGAGGGAAGGGGTAGAAGGGTGACTAAAAGCGCAGTCGAAGAGGATGTTTTTGAGACATGTATTGATGGAGGCAAGGGAATGAACAAGGCAAAGGTACTGTGGCATGGCCTCTCAAAGGGTGGGGGAAGAGAGACTGAAGGCCCGACTGCTGATGGTGTGGCATCTCGGGCACAAGAAGTGGAGCGGACCAGAACCTACTGAAAGGAGGGAGCGAATAGGTTGATGTGGAGTTAGCAGGTCACAGAGGAGGAAGGAGCAAGGCTGTGGAGTGCTTTGAAGGCGAGGACAAGTATTTTGAACTCTATCCTCTAGGGGATGGGGAGCCAATGGAGCCGGGCGAGGGTGGGTGTGATGGATTTATAACATACTCAATCCTTATACAAATGTAATTTTGTTGTTGTTAATATGCTGATCTGAAATGGAACTTTCACATTTCCTCCATTAGTAAAGCATAGATTACTCCTGTGTGTTAAATTATTTTCCCCCTCAACAGCTACTCAAGGCTTGAATGTTACTCCTTACATACGAGGAGATTTTTTAAACACCTCTCATGAAGCTGCGGACAAGTGAAGGAAAAGGTTCATCATGTGATATACATTCTTTCCAACATCGTTGGCTTCTAATTTCTCCCTGGTATAACAGTCTTTCTCTTGTTTTATTGGTTCTAGCATGCTCCTGATAAAGAATTTTTCTCTTTTGTTCCTTTCCTAATTTACTTGTTCTCTAACCTGCATCATCATTGATGAAACGAGATTCATCAAGTATCATTGCATGACACTATCTTATATTGTAACGTATTCTTTCTAAAAGCCTCAAGACTGGAACTTCCTTAATCTTCTCTTCACCTCCAGGGGTTTCAAATCCAAGCTAAGAATAAGCTATTCTAACTAGGTTTACATTTAGTGTTTTTTTCCTGCAGCTAAATGTTGATCAGACAGAAGCCATACTCCTTGGCTCCCGTCAACATCTTCTGTCCTGCGCCTCTGACATCCTCAACCTTCCCTGCCCTTCCCTCAGATTCATTGAACCGGTGTGAAAACTAGGCGTCAGGTTCAATCCACAGCTGTCCTTCCTACTACACATCCGGTCCCTGACCAGGACCCCTTTCCTCCACTTCCACCATATTACCCACCTCCAACCATACCTTACCCCAAATGCAGCTGAAATACTCCTTTATGCGTTTATCACCTCCTGCCTCGCCTACTCAACTGCCCTCCTTGCCTGTTCCACTATCCAAAAATTCCAGTTAATCCAAAACTCGCTCGCAATAAACTCCTTACCCCCATCACACCAGTTCCAGCCAGGCTGCACCAGCTATCACTGAATGGATCGATTTCAAGATCCTTACACTCGTCTTCAAATCCCTTCATGGTCTGGCGCCTCCCTACCTCCAAAATGCATACGCCTCAACCCACTACCCGTTGCCTCCACTCAATTAGCTCTGGGCTCCTCCTCTTGCTCTCTGTTCCACCATCACTGGCCACGCTTTCAGCCACTATGCCCTCAAACCCTGGAACACTGTCCCTCAATCCTTCCATCTTGCCCCTCCTTCCCTATTTTCAGGTCATGTTTGAAGACTGTTCGATCGTGCCTATGATCACCCACCTCCTCCTCCCGGTGTGTTGAGCGCTACCCTGTGGCCTGGAACCTGCATTTATATGGCACAGGCTACCCTGTGCCATATAAATGCAGGTTGTTGTTTTCCAAACTTGGAGATGTACTACACTTGGACCAAAACCCATCACATAGGTTTTTCTATTTTAAAAATCCTCATGCTCACTAGATTCCTATATATTTTAAAAGGCTTCTGCTTATCACAAATACATTTTTTACAATTTCAATTTAACTTTGCTGATCTCTTAATCTGTTTTACTTTGGCTGGAATGAATTTCAACTGTAGCTCACACAACGGTTTCTTGAACATTTCACAATTTTCGACTATAGATCTCTCAACCTTTATTGCTTTCAAATAAACAGTTTGTAACCCATTTCAAATTCCTCAAAGTCTATCATTTTAGAATTCAATATTTTTATTGGGTCGTCCTCCTAATGTGAAAGGAGCTATACAAATTAATTTGTTGTTTTATTTTGGTGTATCCCGAATAGTGTGTGGTCTAACAGCATTATAATTAGCTTTGAGTGCTGCATACGTAATTAATAAAGCCTACATTCCGAGAAATCTTCAGCTCTGTTGGTAGTTTAACAAACTACGTAAGGAATATCTATAAACTCCAGCTCCCTAGTTTTGCTTCTGCTGTTTTTTGAGTAAGTTTTGTTTTAATGGATGCCTTTTCACAGATTTTCTTGATTAATAAAAGTTCCTGTTAACCCCTATTTCCTGCTCTTAATCACACCCTGCCTTCTGAATAACTATTACTGCCTGGTTTAATATAAATTAAGAGTTTTCTAGTTTGACTAATTCTAATTTCTAATGTTGGGGATGAAAAATATCTGTTGCCAATGACAATTTTAATATGCTGCAGTGAAAAAAAATTCTTGCCAGATAGCTTTAAATGTTTCTGACTAGTTTGATTCACTCTGAGGCTCATTGTATTTGTACATTAAGATTATAGATTGATGGTTGTATCACTAATATTTAGGATTCGTTAAATGTTTCAATTTCAATTTTGAGATTTAAAATGCATTCAAAGCACTTATTTGTTTTAACCAGGGAGATGATACACTTCTTGTCCCTGTGCATTCTTATCCAGTTGCGAACATAGCGAATTTTCCTCCTTACTTAAACTTAACCAATGTTCCTGTTGGACAACGGTAAGTTTTAAAATGCTATAATTACCAACCAAATTATAATCAAACTTTACCAAGTTTTGTTTCTAGCTTCAAAGAAAGTGAAAATCTAGGGGAATTCTTTGTGGGCAAGCCTTTAACCAGTTTACCCTGGAAATCTCTTCCTAAATTCCCTACTCTTTCAACTCCACTTTCAAAACACTGCCACATGCGTACCTCTTTAACTGTGCCTTTAGTCCTCAGCCTGGCTCAATTGACAGCACTCTTGCCTCTGAGTCAGAAAGCTGTAGGTTTAAGACTTTAAACTCACAAGTCTTGGCTAATACTTCAATGCAGTACTGAGGGTATGTTGCATTGTTGGTGGTGGCTTCCATCGACTGAGAAATTAAACCAAGGTCCCCATCTGCATATTCAGATGCACATTAAAGATCCCAGAGCACTATTCGACGAGAAGGGAGTTTCTCCTGGTGTCCTGCCCCCTCCTACCTCCAGACCTGCTGACTCCCTACGAGCCTGCCCGTTCTATCCGTTCATCGGGCTCTGGCCTGCTCCATATCTTTCAGCCTCTCTGCCCCCACACTCTGGAACTCCATCTCACGGTCCCTTTGCATCGCTTCCTCACTTGCCTCCTTCAAAGCCGGTCTCAAGACCCTTCTCTTCAACCGTGTCTTTGGTCTCCCTCCCACCTCTCTCACCCCTACACCACCCCCACCACCCCCCACCCCATGCTCAGGCCCCGACACCTGAGTGTTCAGTGTTTTGGGATGACCTCCCAACGTGAAAGGCGCTCTGTATATGTAATTTTGTTGTTATTGCCCAACAATCCCCCAGTTCAATAGCATCTAGAAGATGTACTTGATGTACATCCTGAAGGAATCTGCATTTTCCGTTTGTTATATTGTGAACCTATTGTACAATTCTAAATATGATAATTTATTTGAACAGTGACTTGAATATTTATTTGTTTAATTTTTCAAATCAAATATTGATAGCATTTTGTTAAATTTTACAGCAAAGACACAGTCATACCTTTGAGATGCAGTTGTCCAGTGGATTTTGAATTCCACTTGAATTGTTTAGAGCTTCATCATGCATTCACAATTAAGCCAAAAAGAGGTGAGCTATTTGTATTTAGTGTGCTGGTGTCTATTAGTGAATGTAATCCCTTCAGATTTACTGAATTCAAATATTATAAAATTAAATACACATGTCAAATCTATGTTGCTAGATTGGGAAATCAAATACTTGAAATCAAGATATTTGATTTAAACATCTTTCTTTATTGGCTTCAAGGAAAATGTTTTTAAATTCTAACTATGAAAACAAAATAATAGTTTTTTCAGGCCACCTTGTATAACAGCCCACCACATCAAACTGTATTCAGTTTGGTCCTGGTTGAATGTCACTGGCTGATAATCAAGGCATTATAGTAGTTCGATATAGATTATGGTTAAAATCAGTCATATTTATCTGAACATATGTCGAATCTTAAATGTTAAATGCCCACACAGCCAGTTCTTTTTCCCTCCTGTATCTCTTTCTATATTTTTAACTATAAGTCTACGATTGTTCTGTCTATCAGTTTAAAACAAATTTAAAATCTGTTTTTTCTGCCTTCCTTTTTTAAGAAATCTGTGTTTAAAAGTTTGGTGTAGGTAATCAAAAAGGCAGATTTAATTCCCCTGCATTGTACATTATCACTTAATATTTGGTAAGAGTTTTATTTTCTGTTTTTGGATTTTCTTTGTTTTCTCCTGAAAGCAATTGACTTCTGCAGGAAAGTTGCAGGAAGACTACCTAACTATTTTAGGAATAATTTCTTAAAGGGACTGTTGTTTGTTCTCTGTGGATGATGAATGTGATGTATTTGTCCCTACAGATTATATTTATTTCAAAGAATGATAGACCATTTATTATCACAAAAGTTATTTTACTAAACATGTATTGATTTGAATCTTCTTTTGTCTATGCAGGCATAATTCCAGCTAATGGGGAAGTGAATATTGTTGTCACATATTCACCCTCTGAATATTCTACAGCTCAAATAAGAGTGCAGCTCATTATTTCACAGTTTAACTCAAAGCCTTATAACTGTGTTATTACTGGAACTTCCTCTCCAGGGCTTGCTTTTAAGTAAGTCATAGACTAAGAAATGAAAAATGAAGTCAATTTATGTTTTGTGTATTTTTTTATTAATCAATCCATTTATATGCTCAAAGTAATTAGGACAATAAATTAATTTGAGATAGAAAAATTCTGAACTGTAAAATCATACGTCAACGTATAGATACAATATTTGCTATTACACTTTTATTAATAATGCTGATATTAATACTTGTTTGACAATGTAGCCCAGCAATATAGCCCAGTCATCAGCCCATTTGCATACCTCATTGTAATATTTTTGTTGCCTCCTCCAATTTTACAGTTTTCCTCAATCTGCGGTCATCTCAAATTTAATTTTTTGAACTGAGACTGTAATTTGAGGGCATTAATGTTTGCCAGGAACAGGAGGAGTCCCAGTACAGACCTTCTGAGGCACCCCACTTAATAATATTTTTCCCACTATCAAATCAATTGCTGTAATAAATCCAGTGTTCAATTCTATAACAGGAAAAATAGCAACTATGTAATTGGCACCTTATCCAAAGTCTAAACCAGTATATATCCCAACATATAATTGGGAATATTGTGATAGTTTGTATGTTCGCTTTTTTTTTAAGCTTTGCAAATAGATGAATAATTTGAGCAATTTAACCAGAGTAGATGTATGATAAAACTAGTTATAAAAGGCATAGTGTAATGGATTATATTTATTATTTTGTTACAATAATAATAGGACTTTGTAAACACTGGTTTTAACATCTGTCCAAGTTAAAATAAATTAGATACAGATTAAAATAAACAATGCTGATTGAAACTAGATGAAAAGCATCTTTTGTCATCAGTTCATTGTGTTCAAAATTTTAGAATTATATTTTTACAGGATTAATAGCTTCAATTTATTCCTATTCAAACCAGTCAAAATCACCAGGGTCATCCATAATTTCACAACAATGCAAAGAATATTCTGTGGGAAGGTAATCTTTTAAGCATGACATTTAATTTATTTCTATTCAACGAGTACAAAATGACAATGGTAATCTAATTTCACAACAACACAATGAACAATTGTGGGAGAGAAGGCAATGCTCCAAAACTGTTTTTAATAGTGTTGGATGAAATAACAACTTGCAATTATATGCTGCTGTTCACGTAGGATAACATCTCAGAGTGAGACCATCCAAGAGAGAGGGGGGTGGAGGTGACCAAAGGCGTGGTTGAAGGGATAGGATTTAACAACAGAGAAGAGGGGAGAAGGAGACAGAGGGATAAACGAAGGAAGGGGTTAGGGACACATAGTTGGAGGCTCAGTCTCTGATGATGAAGAGGAGGGGGTGGAGAAAGAGTAAGCAAGTCCGAGTCAGCTGAGCAGATGGGGTGAGCAGACAAGTAGGGAAGGAGAAGAACACAGGGATAGAGTGGTGCTTTAGGGTATGAAGGGATTTATAGGTGATTGTGAGAACCTTGAAGTCTATGTGGGTCCTGCATGATTCATTTCTAAAAGCAATTTCAATAGGTTTCCAGAAAGTAGAAGAAAATAGCACTCCTATCAAAAACTGAAAATTACAGATTGTCTCTTTATTATAATACACTTTTCTTTTGCTATTTGAAAGAAACGTTGAGATTTTCTCCTGGTTATATTGGTTTACACTCCATGGAGACGGAGGCAGCCTCACAACCAGCACGTCTATTTGCCAAGGACCCTCACATGAGGACCTGGATTGAGCAGCTGGTGCTGCATAAGGCTGGTATGTGATATTAGACTTGAACCTTGAGAATATCAAGGTGGATGGCAGGTCACAAGCTGCCCTGTAAGTTCCACCCACCACACTCAAGGCAAATGCCCGCCAGATAGCTGATGAGGAAACTCTGAGGCTTGGGGCGACAGTTGCTGGAAAGCGTTACCTGGAGTCTGAGTTCATGAACACACGTTCATACATCCAGCACCTGGACTCCATCTTGATTGGCTGCAGAGGCCAACAGCTGCTGCTTAAACTCTTCTCCAATTGGTGGAACCATCACTGAAATGAAAAGGGATGTGTGCCTGAGCTGCGGACAGGAAGATGGTGGCAATGCTCTGACACATTTCACGCTGACAGAGAATTCCTTGTATCTACAACCTAGTGAGGGCTCAAACCCGTGTTTGTCAGATGTCGAACGATAACTAGTGACTATCCTCCTTGGGGGGGAAGGTAATAATAATAATCTTTGCATTTTATATAACTCTTTTCACGTCTTCTAAACGTCTCAAAGCGCTTCACAGAATAGACTGTAAAGTGATTTGACTGTATATTTGAGGGCAAAATGTGGCAGCCAATTGCGCACAGCAGTTGCCAACCTGCGCCTAATAATTTCCAGAACTAGGTAAACAGGATGTGTCCTTCCAGGGAAAGAGTGCGCATTCTATTCCATCAATCTATCTCTGGGATTTCCATGTCTTGGTGGGATGCATGGAACGCTCAGCTTGGTTTGGATAATCTTAAGCATGGTGATGGGGTTCCACACGTGTGAGACACCTGGCTGACCAAACAAAAACTCCTCCAAATTCAAGTTAATTGATAGTTCATCTCATTGTTGTTGTTTACAGGATGTTACCAGCACAGATTAGCTGCCACATCGGGATAAATAACATTTACTTCATTCTTATTTATATTTTGGAAAGCATTTGGGGATGTTTACTTTTAAGCAAAAGATACGTTATAAAACCAAGCTATTTTGATTAATAAGAAATTGAAGGTATTTTGAGTTATAGTTACTGGACTTTGTTTAGGTAAAATCCCTGAAGAAGGGTAATCCGAAACATTTCCAACAGAAAACAACTGCATCACAGAAGCCAAGAAGTATATCCTCTGTCCTTTCCAGGCAGATAATAGCAATAATACTTGTACGCAGTTTTGATGTGTTCCAAATTCTATGACTCGATCACTCCCATCTTCGCCTGGCTTCACTGGCTCCCCATCCCCCAGAGGACCGAGTTCAAGATCCCAGTCCTCGTCTTTAAAGCCCTCTGAGGGCTTTAAAGACGAGGAGCTTCTCCATACCTCTGTGTCCTTTAAAATGTTACCAACCTGTCCACTCTCTCTACTCGGCAAGCACTATGGCCTGCTCCACATCCCTTCCCTGCCCACTCCAACATCACAGGCTGGGCCATTCTGCTCCACTCTCTGGAACTCCACCTCAGAGCCCTTCCAACTCACCACTCTTTTGCCTACTTCAAGGCCTGACTCATGACCTTCCTATTCGACTGTGCCTTTGGTCAACTTTTCATCCCCATCCCTTGCCCTCTACCCCTCTTGATTCCAACCCCAGCTCGCGTGCAAACCCTCACGGTCTAGCACCTTGGAATATCCACTCGACGTGAAAAGCTGTATATAAATGCAATTTGTTGTTGTAATTGTTGTTGTTTTCTCTTGCTAAATTTTCTTGCACATTGCTGAATTTTGTTGCATGCCTTCCTATAGTAATTTATCATGCATCATGTTTGTTAAACTCAAGCAGTATCCCAACACATATCCTGTGGCTCTTGGGTCTTTCCAACCTGCGCTTAATACTTTATTAATACTTTATTTATTGCGTTCGCCCACAAATATACAGTCAATTCACTTTACAGTGTGTTCTGTGAAGCGCTTTGGGACGTCCTCCTGACGTGAAAAGCGCTATATCAACAACAACAACAACAACAACAAGATTCCATTTATTGAGCGCCTTTCACGTCGGGAGGACGTCCCAAGGCGCTGTACAGTTGGGTCAGGACCCGAGCAGGGGGGAAATGGTCAGGGTGAGGGGAGGGAAGGGAGGGAGCGAGGAGGGGGTAGAGAGTCAAGAAGGGAGCTGAAGGCACGATCAAAGAGAAAGGTCTTGAGACCGGCCTTGAAGGAGGAAAGGGAGGAGGCGGCGAAGGCACTGGGGGATAGAGTTCCAGAGCCTAGGGGCTGAGAGGCTGAAGGCCCGGCCACCGATAGTAGGGTGGTTGGGGCGGGGGATGTGGAGCAGACCGGAGCCAGAGGAACGGAGGGTACGGGCAGGTAGGTAGGGGGATAGTAGGTCGGAGAGGTAGGAGGGAGCAAGGCCGTGAATGGCCTTGTAGGTGAGGATGAGGATCTTGAATTCGATCCTCTGGGGGATGGGGAGCCAGTGGAGGCGAGCGAGGGTGGGAGTGATGTGGTCCCGAAGCCTGGTGCGGGACAGTACACGAGCTGCAGAGTTCTGAATGACCTGCAGCTTGTGGAGGGAGGTGCCGGGAAGGCCGGCGAGGAGAGAGTTCCCATAGTCCAGCCTTGAGGTGATAAAGGCGTGGACCAGAGTTTCAGCAGCGTGAGGGGTGAGGTAATGCCGTAGTCTGGCGACATTCCGGAGGTGATGGAAGGCGGTGCCAGTTGTGGCGCGGATATGGGGGAGAAAGGACAGCTCAAGGTCGAACAGAAACCCGAGATTCCTGACTGGCTTTGAGAGGTGGAGAGTGCAGCCTTGGATGCTGATGCTGTCAGCGCCAGAGGTGCGGAGGCGCTGACGCGAGCCAATCAGGAGGGCCTCAGTTTTGTGCACGTTGAGCTGGAGAAAGTTATCTCTCGTCCAGGACTCGATGTCGGACAGGCAGGCTGTCAGGACATCGGTGGTCGTGGAGTTGAGGGTAGAGGAGGAAAGGTAGAGTTGGGTGTCATCCGCATACATGTGGAAGTTAACCCCATGTCTGCGGATGATGTCACCGAAGGGGAGCATGTAGAGGGTGAAGAGGAGGGGACCGTGGACAGAGGGACACCGCACGAGACAGTGCGGGGGCCGGAGGAAAAAACATTTATGGAAACAAAGTGAAGACGGTGGGAGAGGTACGACCTAAACCACTCAAGGACAGGGCCTTGAAGGTTTAGGTGGGAGGACAAGCGGTGGAGGAGGATAGCATGGTCGACCGTATCGAATGCTGCCGATAGGTCGAGGAGGACGAGGAGGCAGAGGGAGCCCTGGTCACAGATGGTCAGGATGTCATTGGTGACCTTGACCAGGGCAGTTTCTGTGCTATGGGCAGCACGGAAACCCGACTGAAGGGGTTCGAATAGTGAATGGTTGGAGAGGAAAGAGCGCAGCTGGGAGGCGACAACTCGTTCCAGGACCTTGGATAGGAAGGGGAGGTTGGAGATGGGCCGGTAGCTTGATAGCTGCGACGCATCAAGGGAGGGTTTTTTTAAGGTGGGAGTGATGGTGGCAGTTTTTAAGGGAATGGGAATAGAGCCAGAGGAGAGGGACAGGTTGACGATGTCTGTGATATGTGGGGCAAGGAGGTGGAGCTGGGAGATAAGGAGTGGAGTGGGGATGGGGTCAAGGGAGCAGGTGGTAGGTTTCAGGGAGAGGATGAGTTTGGTGACAGAGGATGGGGAAACGGGTACGAAGGTGTGTAGGGAAGGACGGGTAGGAGTCGGAGTGTGGGAGGGAAGGGGTGGGTGGTGGGTGGATGTTGGAGGGGAAGTGACCGCGGAGCGGATTCCCTTGATCTTGGATTCAAGGAAATCCAGCATCTCCTTGCAGTGAAGGTTGGAGGAGATGACCTGCGTGGGGTGGCGGGGGGGACGGAGGAGTTGGGATGTGGTAGAGAATGCAAGCTTTATTATTATTATTATTATTTATGGAATATTTGGCCGTTCCATTCCAGGCAAAGGAAAATTTCCATGCATATGTGTCGAATTCTTAGTCTGGTCTGAATAGTGATGAGTTCTGCATGTGTCAGTCTATAATGTATTTGTATGATGCTTTAGGTATCAACAAGAAACTGAAAAGGAAGATGTATTTACAGCCAAGTTGGTGGACCGCCAAAACCTTTCGCCAGTGCAAGTTTCCAAACAAAAACAAGTGAAAACATTACAACCAATCAGCTCTAAGAAAGTAAAGGTAAAGTCTAGAAAATATACATTATGCATTTTTTTTGTATACTTGTAAATTATGAGTCGAGTTAACATCTTTAATTTCCTGTAATTTATTGACCACAACATAACTTTCTGAATATAAATACACTTTCAGTTGAGCGGAGGCGGACGTTGAGGAGTAAGCAGTTCGAAGAGTTAAGAAATGTCAAGGCATGAAGGGAGGAACTTGAAATCAATGCATGTGATGATAGGGAACTGGTGGAGCCTGGCTAGAACTGGTATGATGGGGATACGAAGTTTAGTGCAGGATCATATATCTTATAGTATACATATTTCAGTCAAACTCCCTTCAGTTAGCCTCACCTTAGAATAATACACAGGTTAATTAACAAAGAATCTCAAACCATAATGTACTGCTGTCCTCCAGTCTGGTCTCTCATTTCCCCAACCAATAGTAGAGCAATATTTGGGAATCTTAATGAAAGAAAAACTTGCATTTATATACCACTCGTCACGCAGGGTAGCGTTCCTGAGCGCTTAACAGTGGCGGAGCACGGGTAGGTGGGAGGTCACCATAGGCACGGTCAAAGAGGAAGATTTTGAGACACGACCTGAAGATGGGGAAGGGGTGGGGGGCAAGGCAGAGGGATAGCGGAAGAGTGTTGCAAAGTTTCAGGGCCTAGTAGCTGAAAGAGTCGCCACTGATGGTGGAGAGTTGGACATGAGGGACAGCAGGAGGCTGAAGCCAGTCAAGCAGAGGAGATGGTAATGGGTTGGGGAGTAAGCAGGTCAGAGAGGTAGGGAGGTGTCAGGACATGAAGGCATGATGATGTGTGTGAAGAATTTGAAATCGATGCGTTCGATGATAGGGAGCAGTGGAGCCTGGTTGGAACTGGTGTGACGAGGGTACAGAGTTTAGTGCAGGATCAACATGTAATCAACAACTAGAACAGAGTACAAAGAAGGATGTCCAGGTCAGGCACTGAATTTATTCAAGCAATCATTAACGTGTAATGAGAAGATGGCAGGAATGGTATTTTAGGATGATATTAAAGCAACATTTTCATCCAAACCTTTCTTGGGATTTTTACTTCATGACATGTGCAGGAGTCTGGAATCCAGCATTCTCTATTAAGGAACTGGCCACATAACTAATAATTTGATTTGCACTCCCCATTTTTTATACTGCGAAGAGGTGAATTACCCTTCCTGAGAGGATCTCCTCAGGCTAACTTAGGAGCAGGTAGCAATACTGCCAATTCAATAACAAAATAGTATTGATTATTTGCAAAAATCATGCAATATAATTTAGACCCAATGTTTTGCAATGTTGAAATTAATTTGGAAATAGTAAGATAACAACAAATCCACAATACTTTCTTTTTTATTGCACAGGAAATTGAGTACCAGAACCTGTGGATTCCAGTTGATTTGTCCAATCCTTATGCTGTAGCCACTGTGTTGAATCAGCAGCCAGGCAAACTACGAATAAAAGATCTGCGTCAGGGTAATAGAGATGGAATCATATTTTTTATATATTGCTGTTTGACTCTAAAAATAACGTGTTTCAAAATTGCTGTGAATACAACGTATTGCATAGATTTATATAGAATATACAGCACAGAAACAGGCCATTCGTCCCAACTGGTCTATGCCGGCGTTTATGCTCCATGTGAGCCTCTTCCTGCCCTTCCTCAATTAAGTCTATCAGCATAATCTTCTAATCCTTTCTCCCTCATGTACTTATCTAGCTTCCCCTGAAATGCATCTATGCTATTCGCTTCAAATACTCCTTATGGTAGCAAGTTCTACATTCCCACCACTCTCTGGGTAAAGAAGTTTCTTCTGACTTACCTCTTTGATTTATTGGTGACTATTTTATATTTATGGCCCGTGGTTTTGGTCTCCCCACAAGTGGAAACACTCACAGATGTTCTTCTTCAGCAGGTCAAATGTCCTCTTCTCATTGGATGGTTTCTGACATTCTTATCAAACTAACATCAAACTAACATCTCATAGCTCACTGCAGATTAACTCAATATCAGTTGTTGGTCAAGCTAAATTAGCACAATTTACAACAACAACAATTTGCATTTGTATAGCGCCTTCCACGCAGGGTAGCGTCTCAGAGTGCTTAACAGTGGCGGAGCCTGACTCCGACTCGGGGGGTGGAGGTGACCATAAGCACAGTTGAAAAGGAAGGTCTTCAGGTGGGACTAGGGAAGAGAATGAGCAAGGTGGAGGGATTGAAGGAGAGTGTTCCAGAGTTTCGGGGCATAGTGGCTGAAAGCGTGACTTCCAATGGTGGAGTGGAGGGTGCGAGGGACAGGTAGGAGGCCAGTGCCAGTCAAGTGGAGGCGCCGGGTGGTGGATTGGGGAGTGAGGAGGTTGGAGAGGTAGGGAGGTGCCAGGGAGTGAAGGGATTTGAACATGAGTGTGAGGATCTTGAAGTTGATCCATTCGATGATGGGGAGCCAGTGGAACCTGGCCAGAACTGGTGAGATGGGGTTACCAAGTTTGGTCCGGGTAAGTACGCGATTTAAGAAAACAATGTTTTCTGACACTGAAAAGAGCACTTTATTATCTTACTGATGGAAATAAATTTGTTACAAGATACAAAGGCATATTTATTTGCATGCTTATGCCAAAGGTTTTCCTCAAGCATAACTCTTACGGTAAATCACCAGTTTATTTTCTATCTTCTGCTTGCAGGATTCAATGCCAGGATCGTTTTTTTGCACTGAAAAATGCCGGTGCCGAAAAAAAACATTAAATGCCATTACCGGCATTGTAATTACAGTTAGCCGGAAATTCTGATTCGCAGCACATTGGTCTGAGCAGCAGGGATTTAGTGTATGGACTTCCCGGATTCAAACTGTAACCAATGAACCTTCATTACATATAGAACGCTACAGCACTGCCATTCCACTGCACTGTGTTTACGTCCCACATGAGCCTTAATTTTCTTCAATGCCTTCCTATTCCCTTTACTATCATGTTTGCATCAAGTTTTCACTTAAATGCATTGATACTTTCTGGAATGGAAATCCACATTTTAATGAGTTTTTTTTAGCTCCACATTCTAATTTAATTAATATTACAACTAACATTAATTCAAAAAAGATTAGACATGTGTAAGAGAGGATAAAGTTGTGGGATATGGAGAAAAAGCCGGGATATGGAACTAGGGATAGGATATAGGAGAGGCACTCATGGAGTATTATAAATACCAGTCCAACTGGTTGGGCCGAATGGTCTGTTTCTGAGCTGCATCTTCTCTGAAATTAGTTAATTACCCAACACCCAAGCTGGTGAACTAGATAATGTTCTCTTGTCAACTCAATAATCCTCTTGTTCATTTAGCTATATTTATATTTTGCCCACAAATATACACTCAATTCATTTTACAGTATATTCTGCAAAGCACTTGGAGATGTCTCGCAGACGTGATAAGGCGCTATATCAAATGTAAGGAGTATTATTATTATCTACTGAACGTATTTCTTTTTTTATAAAGCATTGACTCATTCTGGCAAAGGATTGAAAAGCAGACAGACAAAGGAAGCGATATATGAGTTAAAAGTCAAGGCAGAGGTCATGAAGGAACGTGCAAATGAGCTGCAATGGTGAGCTGAAGATGAAACAGAAAAGTTAAACCTGAGTAATATTCTTATTTATGTTATCACAACTGTGACTTGATAGATAAATAAGTTAAGATTACTAATTTCTCCCAGTACTGTATCTACTTGGTTACCAGATATCATCTCAAAATAAATATTGTTTTGTTTGTAGTCTGTTTGCAGATCTTAGTAATGCAATTCCATCCCCATTCAGGCAGGTACACCTTGGTCATGATCCAGTTCCTGCTAAAGTTAAACAGAAGATCCTGGATGACAGACTGGTGGCAGAAGAGGAATATAAGGTGTGAATAATATCATTGCCCAGAAACGTACATACACAGTTAAAAATATCCATTACTGCTTATACAGTATTACCTCATTATACACCATGTTTCAAATAAGAAAGTAATGATTGCAGAAAATGTGAAATATCGTCTCTTCAAAGAACTCCCCCATCTTTATTTGAAACATCTAAATATATTTGGTTCCACTATGAATACACTGTGAAACAATGCAGTGTGAAAACATGTGATTTTTGCTCTTTTTCTCCTTAGCCACTTCTTCCAAATATTTTATTGGAAAATTTTATCTCTACCAGCTCAAAGTCCATTAACAATTTTTATTGGCATAGTTAATGTTAAAATCACAACCCCCTTTACAGGGATTAGCGACTCTCCAGAATGTACTTCGACCCTTCCTGTAATATACAGGTTTGTCACCGGACTAGGTGAAGATGAAAGGACACTTTACTGGATAATAATCCTTGCATTTGATATAAAATAATAATCCTTACATTTGGTAATCCTTATGCCTTTCACATCAGAAGGACATCTCAAAGTGCTTCAACAACAACAACTTGCACTTATCCTCCACGCAGGTTAGTGTCTCAGAGCACTTAACAGTGGCAGAGCCTGACTCCGAGCCATGACGGGGGGGAGGGGACCATAAGCACAATCGAAAAGGAAGGTTTTCAGGCCGGACTTCAAAAAGGGTAAAAAGGGGGCAAGGTGGAGGAACTGAGGGAGAGTGTTCCAGAGTTTCGGGGGGTAGTGACTGAATGCGCAATCTCCAATAGTGGAGCGGAGGGCGCGAGCGACAAGCAGGAGGCCAGTGCCAGTCATGCATGAATTGGGGAATGAGGAGGTCGAAGAGATAGTGAGGTGCCAGGAAGTGAATGGATTTGAACACAAGTGTGAGGAACTTGAAGTTGATCCATTCAGTGATGTGGAGGGAACCAGTGAAGCCTGGCCGGAACTGGTGAGATGGAGTTTAGTCTGTGTAAGTATGTGGGCAGCAGAGTTCTGAATTAGTTTTTTTTGAATAGTGGTGAGGAGTGTGTTTGAGCCTCATAGGATATACTATAATGTGCAGAAACTGTGTATTTTGAGGAGAAACACGGTAGCCAATTACCACAAAGAGCAGTGAAATAAATTACCAACAACAACAAAATTACATTTGTATGGCGCCTTTAACGTATGGAGAACGCCCCAAGGCGCTGGACAATCAATGTTTTGGACCCGAGCAGGGGATAAGGATCGGGGAGGGTGGAGGGCAGGGGGGGAAGGAGGACATCCAACGGCACGGTCGAAGAGGAGGGTTTTGAGATGGGTCTAAATGGAGGTAAGGGATGGGGCGAGATGGAGGGACTGCAAAGTGAGAGAAGGCCCACCCGCAAATGGTGGGGTTGGTGAGGTGGGGGACATGAAGCAGGCTGGAGCCTGCTGAGTGGAGGGAGTGGGCCAAGGAGGGCTTTGAATGTGAGGACCAGAATCTTGAACTGTATCTTCTGTGTGATGGAATGCCAGTGGAGTTGGGCAAGGATGGGGGTGATAGGGTCACGTAACCTTGTGAGGGAGAGGACATGGGCTGCAGAGTTCTGGATGATCTGCAGCCTATGGAGGGAGGAGTAGGGGAGGCCAACAAGTAGGGCGTGCGTTGTCGAACCTGGATGTTATGAATGCTTTAAAGCGCTCTGAGACCACCGTCCAGAGTGGAGGGCGCTATATAAATCCAAGTTGTTGTTGTTGTTGCATGAGGGTCTCGGCAGCCTGCTATGTGAGACATTGGTGGAGCCGGGCGATGTTGCGGAGTTGGGGGAAGGCAGAGCACGGATGTAGGTTAGATAGGATAGTTGAGGGTCAAACAAGATGCCAAGGTTCCGGACTGGCATAGTAAGGTGGAGTGTGCATCCTTGGATGGTGATGCTGTCCTTGCCTGCAGTTTGGAGACGCAGGTGGGAGCCAATCAGGAGAGCCACTGCCTTTTTGATATTCAACAAATTTTACTTGTTTCTTTTTGGAGAGGGATCATTTTGGGGGGATCCTTTCGCTTACATGAATTCCAAGTCCCAATATGGATCTCAGAGGCAAAACTGCTGCTTGCTATGATAGGCAGACACAATAAATGGGCAAGAAGGTTATAAAAAACTCAGCTAGAGTACTGTGTTCAGTTCTGGACACCACACTTTAGGAAGGCATTGGAGAGGGTGCAAAGGAGATTTACCAGGATAGTACTAGGAATGAGGGACTTTAGTTAAGAGGAGAGGCTAGAGAAGTCAGGATTATTCTCCTTGAAGCAGAGGTTAAGGGAAGACTTAATAGAGGTGTTCAAAATTATGAGAGGATTCGATACGGTGAAAGAAGAGAAACTATTTCCACTGGCGGGTGGGCTAGTAACCCGAGGGCACTGATTTAAAATAGTTGGTAAAAGAAACAGAGGGGAGGTGAGGAACAACAATTTCACGCATCGGACCGGATTTTCGAATCTGGAATGCATTGCCTGAAGAGGTGGTGAAAGCCGATTCGATAACAACTTTTAAGAGAGAAGTAGATAATTATTTGTGGTGGACAAGTTTACAGGGCTTTTGGGAAGAGAGCGGAGGAGTGGGATTGATTTGGATAGCACTTTTCAAAGAGCCAGCACAGACACAAGGGTCTCCTTCCGTGCTGTATAATTCTATGAAGAGAAATAGTTTGAAATACACTCAAAATTGCACTGTTCAAACAGTCTTGAGTTGAAAAATTAATTTATTCTGTTTCAGTCAATTCCCAATATGCATTGCAGGAAATGTAACCCGTTTTGATTCTTATACATATCAAGGGACACGTCTCAAGCTGTCCAATTAATTATTGTGGAAAATGCAAAACTTCACACTGAATCATTCAGGTATCTTGTCTGAAGATGAGGTTAAAGCTTGTTGTTGGCAGAAGGATCTTTTCTACGGATGTATCTTGAGTTGTAACTGACCTTGATAACTAACTTAACGGAAAAAACATTCCGTTCCAAACACTGGCATATTTAATCATTATAAATACAAAAATCTAACAGGAGAACATAAGCTTAGCAAAAAAAAACTTTAGAAACAACTTTTCCCTCAGAATGGAATACTTTATTTCCTGCTTCATCTCAATACTCTTTTATATTGTTCCTCTTCAAATGCTTGTCCAATTTACCACCACCAAAAATATTATTATTTCCTAGATAAGCAGAGGTGACCCTAAAATGGAAAATGAATTCCAAAGAAGGCAGACCCAGACTTCATTGAGACCTGTTCTACGAGCTGTTGGAATGGTTAGTGAGTTTTTTTCACAGACTATTTCATGTTATTTAGTAATAATGAGGTGGGGATTCTGCGTCACAGGCAGGATGGCATTTAGAGTAGATTGTCATTGTATATGAGTGAAACATCTACCCAGCATTCTACACTAAATCATCATAAAACAGCCAATTTTATAATAGTATCAGTAATTATAGTTCACTATTACATTAAGCTAAGAATTAACTCCCAAACAATTTGACTTGGGGGCCTTACAGCTAATGGACTGAGAAGAAAATCAATAACGCTAAATTTCAACCAAGACGATGAAAGGTAAGGTGCTGCATCACCTGTTCCACGAAATGTTTAAGCATATACGGTATTTCCAAAAACATTTTTTGGAGATAACGTGCTAATAGTAAGTGGGCAAAAGTAAGGAAGATGGAGTTTAACATTACATAAGAGCATAAGAAATGCTAGACGATAAAGACCAAGGTCCATTTAGTTCTCTTTCCACCTTCCTGGCGGTCGCATGCACATAAATCCCGAACTACCTATGTACTATATCCCATAATGTCATTTCCTAAAAGAAAACTATCTAATCTGTGTTTGAAAGAATCAACACTTCCTGCTTCATGGGTTCACTATTTGCTCACTGAAATGGTGTTTGCGTAGATTTGTTCTGAATTTACCCCCCTGCAATCGCAAAACATTGCAACAACAAAACAAAAATTACATTTGTATAGTGCCTTTCGCATCAGGAGGATGTCCCAATGCAAATTCTGAGTTAGTATTCTTCAAGTGGAAGAATAATAGCAATTGGGAGTATGTCCAAAATGGGGAATAGCAGTAGGAGGGGTAGATGAGCAGAGAGATCTAGGAGGTCGAGTCTTTAGATCATTAATATCTAGTTTCCAGGTATCGAAAGCAGTCAGTATGGCAAATTAAATGTTGGCCCATATTCTAAGAGCTTTGTAATATAAAAGTAAGGAAGTGCTTCTCCAGTTATATAATCCTGGTCAGAGCTCATTTGGACTCTCTGTTCAGTTTTGGGATTTTTTAGCCTGCATTAGACCAAGGCTGAGTAAGCTATAATTGTATTGAAGAGACACCAATTTAGATTATATTTATTTACTGACCTTTCATTTTATGTATTACAGGTTCCAAATTGCAAACTAGGATTTGATCCCTATTCTAATGATTATTGGTTATCTCGCCATCGAGCTCTCAAACACTTTCGGGAAGCTGCACGGAAGGTATGATGACACATTCATATGTAAGACTTAGTATAGTTTTCAGCGACCTCCCTCCAAAAAGAGAAAATGCAGTTCTTATTGAGTATATTAGTGAATAATGATGTGGTTAGATTTATTTCTTCCCATTGTTCTCCACCAATCTTCTTTACTTTGGGCATGATTTTAAAGGTTGTGGCTCCTGCATGGCTGCAACTTCATGTGCACCATAGTACCATGTCCAAATGACCTACTTCACAGTAATTGCAATCCCTGCCAGAAAATGGTTATGTGTGGATGTTGACTGAGGACAGATTTGAAGATGTCTCATAAGCATTGTTGGATGGAGGGGTGCCTATGAGTCATCTTCAAATCTGTTCTCAGTCAACTTCCACACATAACCACTTTCTGGCAGGGATTGCATGATAGTGATCGGAAACAAGAATTTTGGTTGAATTTCTTCTCCCTGTTCTTCCTTTCACTTAACTCAAAAGTGCTGATGCTAAATAGTAGCAGCTGAGATTAGCTAACTGCACCGAAACATAAAATTGAGAATGTTCTTAGTAAATTAGAACTCATAAAATCAAGGAGAATCTACAGCACTGAATCGTATGTTTATTGAAGCCTGAAAAAGTTATAAGATGGTTTTTATTTTTGTTCATTGGTTTTTTGTCAGTTAGAATATTATGGAAATTAACTTTTTCATTTTAAAGAAAGTTTTTTTTCTTGAACTTCAGGCTAGGAATGCTGTGACATATCAATCAGACTTCCCATTCCACATTGTTCTACTGTAAGAACAAAGTTGCCAGTATAAATGTAGCATAAATCTCCATCCATTTTATCGGCATAAACCTATTCGTCAAATTGTTATTTGACTTTCTTTTCTCTTCCAGTAGAATTGAAGTCTATATTCAGAGTTTAATTCTGGAATGAATAACAATCTGATTTATCATGCTTCTGTACCGTTCTCCTTGGCTCAATATTACTGAGCTTATGTGATAAGTGCAAGTATTAAATAACTACAGAGCCTGATGAGTTCAAAGGAAATTCTGGAGAGTTGTTTTCATGCTGCTTTCATCGTTTAATTTTTCTATTTATATTAAACACTAAGCATGGAAAACAACAGAAGAATAAACTGATACAGCTGTTTTCTTCAAGAACTGGAAAGTCTCAGCCCTGTGATGTTAGATCTATGACTAAAGCCCACATATCTGACCTTAGCCCATTTGCCAAAAATAAGCTGGTTCTTTGTATGAATTGTCTGTGACACCTATCTGTTTTTAGTGTAGTACACTGAAATTGTTGATAAGAGCACAGTTGAAATGAATATCCTTCCACTTTTCCTAGAAATTATCAAAAGTAATTCAATAATTTTGAAAAGAATTAATGTTCGCAGTATTCATTTCTATCTCATCCTCACTTTTATGAAAACAACACGGTGAGTTGCACTAAACTAATCTGCATTTGGGGATCTTCAGGCAACTTTTCTTCCTTCACTTTTCTTCCTTGTTGATTAATGTTTGTAAATTGCGCTGTCCTTTATTTGGGGTAGAATTCCAGAATATTTTAAGGATCTGAATGAATTCTATTTGAGGAAAAATTTTGAAATGTTTCCAGATTCAAAAAGATATTGCATTTGGATTTTCAACAATGTGCATGGGACTATTCAGGCAGGTATAGATGCATAATTGTTGGTTTAAAATGAACCTGAACATGAACTAGAACAACAGTTGCGTTGTAAAGATTGGATTCAGACTCAGTTAACCAATTCCTGCTTGCCATGTTCAAATACTTTTGTCAATAATGTACTTAATTAGCTAACTTTTTTTTGTCTTAGATTATTATACGATGCAGAGTAAATAGCAGGTTGATTTTGTTGAAGAAGCTTGTTGAAAACCTCAAAAGAAGTAGTGCAAGCAGTTTAAAAGGTATTTTGTATTGTCACACATTGTATCTTTTTAAACTCCAAAAGCATTTTTGTCCAACATATAGCAGATAAATGTGGAACATTCATCCTATCCTACCTCAGCAACCTCCTACCACTATTGCCCTAGCGATTCCCCCCACTCAGCAAACACCAGCTTGCTTCACATCCTTCACTACTCTGCCCCATCATTGATGAACAAGCCTTCAGCCACTGTATCCCAGAGTGACTCTTCCTCGTCCTGTCCGTACAGATTCTAATGTGAAGTGGAGTGACTTTATTTTTGTAGGTGAACACTGCACCAATATTAGCCCGCAGCAAGGTCCCAAATGAAGTTAATGATCAATTTTATCCGGGGAATTGTTGGCTAGGACACTAGGAGAAGTTTTTTCTGTTTTTGAATGGTACCATTCACCAATCGAACCTAGCTCGGTTTAACATCTTATCAAAAGAACAGCACTTCCAACACTTCTCCAGCATGGCACTGGAGTGAGCATAGATTATAAACTCAAACATGATCTGATATCAGATATAAACCCACAAGCTCTGAATCAGAGGTGTGAGTGTTACCTAAGTGACTAAGTTACTTGCACAAACAAATTGTGTACTCTGTTCTCTGATAAAATACGTTTTCCCCTTTTTACCTCTTTTGACAGGGAGCACTCTCAGCTTTGGCAACAATTTGTATCAGAATACAGAGGAAAACAGCCTTCCAAACCTTTCCAAAGACAACATATTGCCTTACACATTTCCTTATTATGTCCCTCCTGACTGGATTGATGAATTGGTATGGAATATATAAAAGTATTTGGGAATTTTGAATTATTTATGTTTAATGACAAACTTTTCCAGTCTTAAATTGTCTGCTGACTTAATTGTTTTCAACATTGCAGTAGTTAAATAAAAACTAAAATGCTTTCAATAGTTCACATCCTGTTTGCCAAGAAAAGACTGCAAAATGTCAATTCAAATACAATGTATTCAGATTGTGGAATGGGAAACAAAAGTTATTTAAATCACTAGGAAAGAGGTCTTTTGTCATCTGCATCTCCTTCTAGCTTAGAATATTAGTGAACTATCCACATAATTTACCTGTACATCCTAGGGATCCTGTAGTTGTAGGCCCAGGGCAATACAGCCGTACTGAGAAGATAAGTAACTTTCTAAAGTTTTCAAATTTATCAGAAATCATATGAATAAACAAATGGTTTTGATATTATGAAATACTTTTTTAGAAGTATTTTTCTTCTCTACAACAGCTATGGTCAATTCTCTGTTTTCTCTCTCTCTCTCTCTCTCTCTCTCTCTCTCTTCCCTCACACATTTACTACTGCATGCCAACTATGACATGCAGGAAAAACTTTGGTTCTTGTAATTATTCAATCATTCAGTCACTTATTTTATTGTTATAATTGACCAGTGTAATATGACATTTCGGAATCAAGTGTGCATGTAACATTGTTTACTAATACTATATCACTGTTAATGCTGCCACTTAATGATCTGATGCTTCACAGCTCAAGAACAATGTTACGTTTAATGATGTAGGATATTTGGCGACTTCACTATTCCAGTCGTTATATTATAACAATAATAAATAATCCTTGCAATTGATATAGCACCTTTCATATCAAGAGAACATCTCAAGGAGCTTCGCATGATTTACTACAAGTAATAGTAACTGTGTGTTCAGAGTCCCGATAAAGTGCTTGAATTCACAATCCTGTGACTCAAAGGTGAGAGGACTGCCAATTACGCCAGGCTAGTTTCCAATTATAATTATGAACTTCTGTTGCCATTTTGTAGAAAGGGAGGAGAATGGTTAGAATGATATACCAGAGTCCAACGCGATTTATTTTTTAGGAGCCTGATATTTTAAGAACGCTTTAAAACATTCAAATATCTCGCGAAAACTGTAGATTGACCGCACAATGCAAGCATAATGGGTGGGAGACCAATCTTGCAATGGTAAATTTTGAAAAGAATAATAACAGTAACATTATGCTTCTCCTTTGAGGAAATCAATAGCACCAGTAGTTGCTACCATGGAGACTAGATAGAGATCAGTACCATTTACTGAACCCTGTCCCTAACTCGTTTCTGACATCCAGGAGCTAATTATGCACAGTGGGAGAAAAGGATGAACCACATGATTCAGGGAGTGAGCTCCGTTTAGTACAATTTTATCTTGTTTTTCTCTTTCATGTCCAAATTATACTCAGCTTGTGTGATATTTAAACAATGCAGCACAAGTGTTTTTTTTGGAATTTTTTGGAATTAAAGAGACATAGTCTTCATGAAAAAAAGATTAGGAAACTATTTGTTTGCATGGGAGATGAATTGTATGTGATTTTAATCCCAATGACAAATATGATGCAATAATGAGTGCAATTTATGTCACTGTTTATAAAAACAATGGAAATCAAATTGCTGGACATTTTATTTGTGGACATAATACCTCAAAATCAAATAGATAGATGGTATTAATCATTCAACAAAATACAAATATTTGGCTACTTGAACAAAGAAAATAAAATTATTGCTAACTGCTCCTCTACACCTACATGTGTGACTTCCGTAGCCAACGAAAAATAACTAATAAAAGTTGATTGCTTTGATGTAAATATGAAAGTCTTTCAAGCTATTCTTTTAATCAAATAATTCCCTATCTTTCTGATCTCTTGCTACTCCACTTCTTTGCTCACTGCCTCCAACCAGCTAACTCAGGCTTAGGGTTTGTCCCATGGCCTATCTGTGCCACTATCGGTGGCCAAGCGTTACAATTTTACACCTCTAACCTCTGAAATTCCCTCCCTCAACCCCGCCATCTCGCCTCCTCACTATTTGTCTTTCAGTCCTGCCTTAAAACCTATCTCTTCAACTTCAACTCTCTCTTCCTCCTCTCCTATTTCCCTGCTTGGTGTCCATCCCCACCACTGCAAAGCACTCAGAGATATAATTCTGCACAATGTTTGTTATATAAATGCGTGGTGGTGTTGTTGAAGTTAACCAAAAGCTCCCATTGTATCTCATGAATGAAACTTCTTTTTTTAGGCTCCTGATGCACTTGGATTGGTGCCTGTGAATACTTTAGAAGTAACAGTTGAACGTCCAGTTTTATTCTTCAATCTAAAGGTTATGTATTTTAGGTTACATTTCAATATCAATGATACAAAGTAACTGCTTTAAATTAAATATTGTTGTTACATATTGAATGAAACTCCTTATTTTTAATGTTTTCCTTACTTTCTACTGATACAATCTTTGATGTATTGATTATGGTTAATGTAACCTTTATCTGCATGTAATTTGTAAATTTACAGATTCCTCAGCATTATAAATTAATGGGATACCAACGTGATTCTGCCCATAATGCTTCATCTTCATATATTCCTTTAAAACTGTCACGACCCCTCCGATCAGGAGCAGAGGTAATATTTTCATCAAATCTTGGGAACAGGATAATATAGGTCTTGGAAACATGGATATAAATATAGTCATTAGTTATTACTGTATGAGGAACAGTGTTGACTCTCTTGAATAATAGACATACTACACTTAGAGGCACACTTTCCCCATAATGATGCCTGTGATGCTTCTTCCAGTTATTATATTGTACATCGCAATATTCCACAATTGTCAAGATGCCTCAGATTAGAAGCAAAGTTGATTATTACAATGTTGTGTATTTCTTTATGCCTCAAGAAAAGATCTTAAACTATTGATTGGAAGATACAGTGGCCTCTCCCACAATTGTTGATTTGTAATGATATCTAGAGAGGTATGCCAATATTTGCTTGGCAACAGTTCTTCAGCACAAAAAGAAAAAGACCTTGTCATGTTAAAATGTCTTAAAGCACTTTAGAAATAATTGTTGCTGCTGATATCACTTTCTATGTGTAAATGGTGCTGCTAACATCACTTCCTTTGAGGAAATAACACCAAAGCTGCTTCATGTGCGCAGTGTACAGATAGTGACATCAGCAATGATTCCTGTGTTCAGTGTGCAGAAAGTGGTGTCAGTGGTTTCCTGGCAACCCATTTTTAATGTGGTTTGCTGGCCAGTCAGTACTGAAAACCAGATGTCATGCATTTCTGATTAGCGTGGATCCACAGAACCGCAGTGCTTTAAGTGAAGCAGATTGATGTCAGGGTACCAGGTTTCCCCAGCATGCCACGTCCACAGCATTATCTTTATGACTTCTCTCAGTTATTTCACCATTCTCTCAGCTTTATTAAGCAAAAATTGTCATTAACAAATCCATGCTGATTGTCTTTAATTAATCGTTTATTCGTCCCCTGCCTAATCCTCCCCACTATCGGCATGAGGGCAATCAACAATTCAACCCCCACTCTTTGGAACTCCAACGCAGAGTCCCTCCGACTGTCCCCTTCCTCCCCTGAAAACCATCTCAAAACATAGCTCCTTCACCATGCTTTCAGTCATATTTCCCTCCCCATGCCCTTCAGCTCCCACCCCCAGCTTAGGTGGCCAGCCAGCAGTGTTAAATGCTTTGAGACGTGACGTGAAAAGCACTACATAAATATAAAATGAAAACAAGTGGCTGGGAACACACAGCAGGTCAGGCAGTATCTATGGAGAGAGGAAAATATATTAACATTTCAGGTCTTTGATCTTTCGTCAGAACGTAAATATGAATTGTATTGTGTATTGTATGTCTTTCTAAGTGATTATTAATATCCTGTTCTGTGGGTTCCACAATTTTGTCCACTATTTTATGAAGAATTTATGTAACAATATGTAAATATATATGTAGCACTTTTTTATTTTGAAATGTTCATTTCTGCAGAATGAATTATACCCAGTGGAATCATTAGAGAAAAAGGTTCCTATAGCTACCACACATTTGGTAGACTTAGAAGAATCGCTTAATCAGGATTTTTTCCTGAATCTCACAGTGGATCCTCAGAAGAAACCAGTTCATCCCTTGAACTTGTTACCTCCTGAAGGATTATTCAAACCGCCTGTTTATCATCCACTCTATGTGCTGGTAAGTACATTAGTAAGAACAAAACAAATCCTTATTGAGTACCTCAGTCAAAAAAAGTTAATATTTTCAAGTTATTTTTAGACTTCAAAGATTACTGAATATTTTTGCTTTCAAACGTAGAGCCAACAGTGTATTTATAGGCAAACGCATCAGCCAGTTTGACCCACAAACTAGCTGACCTGACATGAATATATCGCCTTTCAGGCAATAATGACATCCTATTCTTTTTCCCAATAAGCAGTACCACACATGCATCGTCACTAAACATCGCCACATTTCCAACTATTTCTCTAGCCTATCAATTTCCTCCTGAAGTATTCTAAAATTCTCATTTGCCTTTTTTTACTAGAATTCTGTTCCTGGACTTCATGCATACAAGCCCCCTCTTTCATATTGTGAAACAGAGCTGGATTTTCATATTTGTCCTTTACCAAAGTACATCGTCAATGCAAACCCTCCAGGTGATGTTAATCTTCCCAAAACACAGAAGAAATTCCTCGATCGAGATGTAAGATTACGACTGGTGTTCTTTTTCTTTTACAAATGTAGCATTCTTCATTCTACACTACTACATATTTAAATGTATGTTGTTTCATTCTGCATATTCAAATACTATTGTACTTGTCCAGATTTTCTGAAGACCAGGAATAAAGCGTAGATTTTATTATGAGGAAAGTATCATTTACTGAATTAGTCCATAACTATAAATCTTTTTGTGATATCTGAATTGTTATAAGGAACAAGAACAAGGTTTAGGCTTGAATTGTATCCATGAGCAGCCCTCTAGATTTTGCTACTTTCTTCAATTTACAGTGAACAGTAAATAAGATCACTTAGTCTATCATAAGTATTCGGTGCATGTTTAATCAGACAATTTTATTTGGTTTCAATGCGTTGATCCTTAAATATATTTTAATTTATTTTTATCATTCAAAAGTTAAAAGCAGAATGATTGACCTTCATTATAAATCTGTTTTGTTGTAAATGTAGAATAAATTATTAATTAGCAACTAAGATATATCATTTTAATCATTTTAATATTCAATATATCTCATTTCATTCTATAATGAATTATAAATATCCTAGAAATCCAAGAGAATAATATTGTAGTTAATCAAATTAACTATTCTGCTGTTGATCAAACAGGAAGTAATTAAAGGTCTAATGACTTGGAAGAAATTTTATTCAACACCTATTCGATCTTTATCCAGCACTGCGACTTTAACCAGCTCATGGGTGCCACGATGGTATGTATTATTTAAAAAAGCTCTAGTGTTCATATAAATCTAATTTCTAATTGTAATAATAATAATATAATAATAATAATCCTTGCATTTGATATAGCGCTTTTTACGTCGGGAGGACGTCCCAAAGCGCTTCACAGAACACACTGTAAAGTGAATTGACTGTATATTTGTGGGCGAACGCAGCAGCCAATTGCGCACAGCAATGTCCCACAAACAGTCATAGATTGAAAATGACCAATTTATTATTGTTTTTGGTTTTGGAGGGATTATTATTAGGCTCTGTGTGGAGTAAGAAAACTTGCCCAAGGTTTCGCTCTCTGCCTGGAATTGAACTCAGGTCTCTCGCTTGCAAAGCGAGTGCTCTAACCACTGAGCTACAGGACTCCACAAATAATAGCATGTAATAGTAATAGCATTTATGATTTTGATATGCTTTTGTTTGTTTAGGAGTGATCCATTTTCAACAGATCTGCTTCCTATTAATGCCCCATCACTATTGGATAGTTTACCAGAAGAGGACAAGAAGAATGTAATTGAAGGAGCGTAAGTACAAATGATTCACAAAATAACCACAAAGATCATCAGTCGCAAAAGTATTAAAAAATATATTGTGCTTAATAAGACTCAGTGTTGAAAAACACGAATGTAAGGCGCATTAGCAAAAAGAATAGGCAGTCTCACTCATGCAGATCCACAATACATCAAGGACTGCTGAAGATAGACCAGTCAGTCTGACCCATTAGCAGGACTTGGAGAAGCAGACTTGTCACTGAGAATATTATTAACTCCCTATAGAATTTATCCAGCAGCATTTGCATTTATATTTTTTATCCACAGAGTAACATCTTAATTACATATACTTTAAGCATTTAAGATCCTGTGGCAATATGCTGTCACATGTGCAACATGAAGTCGATTGAGATGGCCAGTGAAATTCATTGCCTTGACCTGGTGGCAGTAATATTGCGGACAATACAGAGTTTAGAAATAAAAAAAGAATTAAAGTGTATTTTGCTTACCAATATTGTGGTAGTCATTCTAATTGTTTTTCTTTGCATTCCACTGAAAGGGAAGGAAAAGTGGAACTAATACCAGAGATGCTGAATGTTGAATTCACAAAAATTGAAACTACAATGGCTTACTTGGGGGAAGACGGGGATAAAACTGCTGAAGATCACAGGTACACAATGAGCTCCTGCGTAGGCATGATCAATGTGGAAAGCATTGTTCATGTTACGTTTAGGAAAAATATTCTTCCTTGAATTTTTGCCTATCAAAGTTGAAATTGTACATAATGATGTCCAAAACGTGCTAGTCGTTATGGTGAATAGTGACTCCTGAGAGTAACCGGAGATTCATCATTCAGAATTGTGGGAACTCTGCTCTGACACATCTACTGCTAGTGTAGTGTTCCTGTTAGTTTGTGTAAGCCATTTCAACTTCCAGTTATGAGTGATTAGTTATCACTTCTGTTATATCACATATTGAACTCTGATGTGTTGGAAAGAATGAATTGTACATTGCATATAGGAAGCAAGGAATGGAATTAATAATTTACTATCTTCCACGCACAAAATATACAGTTAATTCACCTTACAGTATATTCTGTGAAGCCCTTTGAGACATCTCAAAGACGTGATAAGGCTCTATATCAAATGCAAGTATTATTATCTTTTTTCATTCTATACTATGTTTTTATGTTTTTGAAGTGGTGATGTGTAGATGTGATAGAAGAAGAAGATGACCTCTAGTACCTTATTAATTGACTAATTAACTTATTCATTATTTTTTCATCTGAAAGCAGCTGAAGACACAACTCAATATTTTCCAGTAATATTTGGATAATGTTAACCTTATCCCACTTCAAATGGTATTTGGATTAGCCTGATATCCATCCATCCATGAAGATAATTCAAACCAACTCAAAATTGAGTAATTGTGGAAAGAGCAGAGAAATGGGAGTAATTTAGATAACTCAAGTTATCAAGTCAGAGCAAACATAGACACAATGGGCCAACAAATGACCTTGTTCTGCACAATAAACATTCTATGATTCTTTTGGGGGAAAAAAATCTTTCAAATGCAATTTTATAGAAAGGAGTTTCTTGTTCAAATTATGAAAGTGAAAATGAAAGTCATCCTTTGTCATTCTAGAATCCTGAACATCAGATTAGAAAAAAATTCTGTTTAATACCGTAATAGGTAAAATAATGTAGGTACATTATTTTCAAAGTACTACTACCTTAATTCTGTAGAAATTGTGTTTTTCTGTGTTGATCCTTGATATTAATAATAGCGCACTTCTAGGTTGTTTTAAAGTAACCTCTTAGATTCATCCTTTTTTTAAATACAAAGAGGAATGTTTGGTGTGGTGGCCCATTTTGACACTTCCTTTGTGAAGGAAGTAAAAAGGGAAGGATAACAGGAAATTAAATGTTTAAAAAGCATTAATGAGAATAATAATCACTGTTTAGTCTTTTCTTTCAGTGAGTTCAAGGCACAACATCCAGGAGCAACACCTTGCCGTGGACCTATTCCAAGGTAAATATAGCATGAACAAGTTGTAACTGATTATCCTTTGTATGAAATGTGTGTGAGCTTCGCACACCTGCTGCTTTTTTAGTCTACTGTAAATCGTTAACCAGAAGAACACTGAAAAACTATTTCTACTTGTAAAATCTGAAGGGTTCTGCATTCAACATTCATAGTCAGAATATTCCTAACAGCTATTATGCATAGAATAGGTAATTACATGAAGAATACACCGCAACAATAAAATGGTCTTATGTCATTTTAAAAATGGCATCAGAATAATTTGCATGCAATTGCAGTCAAGCAAAACTTTTGCTAAATTCCCTGTTTGTTTCTGATGTAGACCCCTATTCACAAACCCCCAGTTAGTGTATTTTCAACCATTCAATAAAACATTTTTATTCAATTAAAAGCTTTTTTTATAAGTACAGAGAACTACATTTCACAGATTTGCAAAAACTGCACATAAATCGTTTATTTTTAATCTTCGAGTCATTCTGTGTTAAAATTTAAAAATAGCCTCCAGGTTTTGATTGGAAACGGAATTATGTTTTATATTGAAACATTCATTATCCCTGCAATATGAATATATCAATTAGCTGGTGGTGTAGGTAGCAGTTAGCGTTGGAAACTCGTATAAATTTTATTAAGATATTTAGATAATTTCAAAGATTAAATATTTATAGAAATGGAGCATATATGGCAGTCTTTGTATGTTTACTTTGTATGTTTTTAATAGTGCAAAACAATGTGACTACATTACCAATGAGTAGCAGTCACAAGTTGAAACAAAACCAGCAATGCTGGAAATCCACAGCAATTCAGTCAGTTTCTGAAGAAAATATTTCGGACTCAGATAAAGAATCACACCCGAATATGTACCTTTTTTTTCTCTTTCTCATTTTTACCTTTTTATGATATTTTCTGGGGGGGATTTCTGATTTCCAATCTTCAGATGTTTCTGTTTCACATCAAAAATATGTTAATCAAGTTCACTGGTAGTTTAAAATTCATGTACATTCCAGCTGGAGACACTATGCTATACTTGTAACATGCTTTGCCTTTGTAAATCTAATACCTTTCCATGCTTCTAGTCATCAAAAGTGTGATCTTAATTTTGTATTGATATAACATAGAGTACCAAATGTATAGGCTTAATACATTTATATTTTTTATTTATTTGTGCTGTTACTATTTCTAGCTCACCTTTGAAACATTTTTGGTATTTTCTATTCAAATTTACAAAAGTGCTTTAGCTAATCTGAAAGACAAAATAGTATATACAACATTGCTAATCAGTGATCTTCCGCATATATTTCAGGGATGTACGAGAGCAGCAGCTAGAGTGGTTTCTAAGATTACAAAACAATCAGCTCGGATCAAAGTTTCAAGCCAATATGAAGCATCTGAAAAAAATATCTTCCAATAACTTTCTACTCCTTCCATGAGTCCTGGTTTCAGTTACATGCTGCAAAGACTGTTCATCAGAGAAATATTGTTAGCCTACTGTAAACCAAATGCAGTGATAAGCTTGTAATATTTGCAATCTTCTCTTTAGAGATAACTTGTGTGAGTAAAATATACTTTGAAAAAGACCGTGGTTATTAGAGGCATTCCAAGAGTTAGTTATTACAGTTTTGTAATATTACTATTTGGATATTTAATATACATCATTGAAAATGAGAATCAAATTGACTAATTGCATCTTTCATAAGAAAATATTTTTTTAATTACATGACTTCCACTGGAAACAGTGCACATAATTATCAAGCATTTTTTTAAATGCAGTGTGATTTTGTTTAGATCTCCCAATATCTAAGTGCACCATGTGATATTGCAGTGAGCTTCATTTACAGACTGGGTATGATGTACATTTGAACCCTTTCTGTACATACACTTAATGGATATTTATTGGCCTCCATCTAAACTTGTGTTATGGATAAAGTAAGAGGGTCTACTTGAAGTGACTGGCTGCAAGATAACGGGTTGGCAATGGAATGACAGAATTGAGCAAACCCTCTTTGGCGGTCTCAGTAGTTTAATTCCTGAGCCAGACAGGTCCATAATACTCTAGATCAATGTTGATGACAGCCAATCTAGCCTGGCTCATCAGTAGGATTTGGAAAGGCAGACAAGTCAATGGGGCTTGGGCTCTACCTGTCAACTCAGTTCCCTGATCCCAACCCACCCCCCTCCCTGCTCAAATCCTATTCCCTCACTGTCCCGACATGAAAGGTGCTTTACAAATGTAGTTTTGTATTGTATCAAGCCCTAACATGTAGCATGTCCCAGCTGGACAAGCAGCCGAAATGCTTTCAATGGCAAACTACGCGGTTATAATTGGTTAAGACTCTTCAGTAGTACCCCAACGCAACCTCTGGGTTCCCCAAACCTTAGCTCTTGACACCTTTAGCCTGATACTGTCCACAATTAGGGAAGCAGGTTATGTCCCTCCAGAGGGAGAGTACATGTTACATTCTAATAAATATGTGTGGAATTTCCATGTATAGGTGGGATGCATGGAACTTTGTTTGTTTTGTATACTCTTAAGCATGATGACAGGTTTCCACATGTGTCAGGCACCCAGCTGACCCAAAAAAGTATTGTGGACGAAAACAAATATCAACTTTCAAAATAAATAAAAGTCATACATATTTTATCACTTAGTGTTTGTTCCACTGACTTAAAAAAATTATTTGAGTATAAATGTGTAAAATCGTCTGGAAGAGCAAAATTAATAATAATAATAATAATAATAATCCTTGCATTTGATATAGCACTTTTTCACGTCGGGAGGACATCCCAAAGCGCTTCACAGTACACACTGTAAAGTGAATTGACTGTATATTTGTGGGCGAACGCGGCAGCCAATTGCACACAGCAATGTCCCACAAACAGTCGTAGATTGAAAATGACCAATTTAATTATTGTTTTTGGTTTTTTGGAGGGATTATTATTAGGCGTGTGGAGTAAGGAAACTTGCCCAAGGTTTCGCCCTCTGCCTGGAATTGAACTCAGGTCTCTCACTTGCAAAGCGAGTGCTCTAACCACTGAGCTACAGGACTCCACGACTCCACGACTAATATATTAGGAATACTTTAATAGAAAATACAAAGTTCACGATGGATCACCAGGAGCGAGCCTACTCCCACATTGTTCCTTTCCTCTGGAACATTTTACCACTGCCATTTTACCATTTCTCTCTCTGCTTTCAAATCCAACCTAACTCTTGACTGTGCTTTTATCTACTTCTCACGAGATGCACTTTTTAGAAAACACAACAGTATTTTATTGGTCCTTATAGCCCTATGCCTTACTTATACTGCCCGATAATACAATAAACCGTCACAATGTTAAGACATAGAAAAACCCTGACACCATAACTGTGACACGAGCAGCTTTACCCAAAGTGAGTAGACAATGNAAAAACAACCTTCATCTGGAGACAAGGCTCTCAGGTCAGACATGTACCTCCTTGATGACACTAAAGGCAAAGAGTGACCCTGATTCTAATGAGTCCCCTTCTTTTATACGATTTTAACTCCTCCCTTTTTCAATATATCTCTCTATACCTTTACCTTTTGAGAAGTTTCCCAATGTGAAAGGCACTAATTCTAAGTAAGTATCAATTATTGTTGGTGAAGCCTACCAATGACCAATTAGACATTTACATTATTATTTCCATAGGTTTGGTAAATTGAGCTATAACTGATTTAAACCTGATTTTCCCTTTTTTGTTGCAACACTTACCCAGGTTACAGACTTTGTGTCTTCAAGCCAGTACCTCTTTAAATTATATTTTCCCTAGACCATAGTTGCACTTAAAGTGAAGCGGCTTATTTTAACACAAACTCTCTATACATAGACTATCTACAGCAACTATCATTAGAACGAGGTAGAGCATTAATAAGAACAAGTTGTCCAGGACAGTCCCCAAGCCATGGTTTTTGTCAAACTGCGCGTAACACTTTCCAGAATTAGGCTAGCTGGATGTGTCTCCAGGGAGAGAGCGTATTCTATTCCAACGATCTATCTCTGGAACTTCCATGTTTAGGTGGGATGATCAATTCTCAGCTTGGTTTGGATACACTTAAGCATGATGATGGGTTTCTGGATGTGTCAGACACCAGCTGATAAAAACATGCAGGCTGTGCATTTACCCACTCAGCTAGCAGGAAGTTGTTGTTAAGCTCTTGATAATTCACTTCAAATTCGTTAAATTTATATTGTAACATGAAACATTAATATTGGACCATAGAAATATACAGCACCGAAGAAGGCCCCTCAGCAATATGCGATTCTTTGAAAGAGCAATCGATTCCGTCCCTATTCGGACCTTCCTATTCCCCCTACCCCTTCATAGTTATATAGTAAACCTCACTTGAGTTGTATCAGTTGGTCAGATGTACTGACTTAGGGCCTGGCGATTAAGTGCTGTGTGAGGGTGACTCTACCCTGTGTGAGGGGCGCTATGCAAATGCAAGTTGTTATACGATTTATACAGATTAGACTTTTGCTAGTTTTACTGTAGAAATGTAAGGGTTTCAGTCTTTGACTTTTGCAGGGGCAAAACAATGAATACAAAAATATGAGGTCATCAACACTCAGTGCTAGACAACATGTATAGGGAGACAAATATTAGTTGTATTTTCATCAAGAGTGTGAAAATGCTCCTTTCTGCAATAGACATGTTATCAGTTTGTTTTAAGCAACATTTCATTTCTAGCTTACTATAGCTCTTCAATTGTCTACAGTTTGACAGGTAAATATCCTTTCCCAAAAACAAACTTGAATACTACCGCAATTCACAGTAGAGTTTGAATCGTAGCAAGTGACCCCATTCATTCAATGGAGATTATCTGTCATCGCTCTAATTACTAAGTGTAAATAATGTTTACTAATATACCAGCTTCAATTAATTTTGCTGAATATATTTGGACTGCAACACTTACATTTCTCACAGCTTTTGGTTTAGTTTTCATTAACATCAGCCTGTTATTTAGTAAAAGATTAATAGTGCTGTTTCAGTGAAGCCAAGTATTTACAGAGCACTGGTACTTATTCCATATTGAAAAATGTAACTGTGGGAGTACGGAAATCCTAATAAAGTAGTTTGGCGATAGTTTGTGATTTTATACAAAGAAATTCAAGAGCTAATTCATTTTTAAGTTTCTAAATATATCAAATCAAAAATGATTAATATTTGTGACAGCTTTATATTATCTGGTGTTGGCTGATCATAATGATCCTAATACCCAAAACATCCACTTCTATATGGTTAACAGGTGAGCAATCTGTTTGTCATTATAGGAACACTGCTCCTTAATTGCTGTTGGCACTAAAATTATTAGAGTATAATTCTGCCTCCAGCAATCACCTGATTCAAAATATAAAATGCTAGGCTGACACCAGGTCTAAGGAAATGACCAAACTGTTGGTGGGGGAAAACAGGCAATAACCCAGCCAGTGGTAAGGGAAGAAACGTGTGGTTTATGGTGTGGTTTATGCCCACCGAATAATAATGATTCAATCACTTGGGGAAAAGAGCTGTATGTTAAACCTACATTGAAAGGTACTTTAACAATAACAACAACAACTTGCATTTATATAACGCCTTTCGTGCAAGGGTAGCGTCCCAGAGTGCATAGGGAATAAATAAAGGTTACGCATTATAAAATGAAATTAAACAGCTTAATTTCCTGATAGGTATAACTCAGTTCTTGTTTATAAATATAGTCACTACATGTGACTGTAATTACTCTAAAGTGCTTTGAAACACTGAATTTATAGACCCTACAAAATAAAATTATATTTACAAATTAATTAATAATGCACATATTTCTTCAAGTGATAGATTAATAACTCATACAGCATTTACATTAATTACTTCCCTATTCCCATCACTACACTGGAAAGTAAAAACACCTCGCAATCTATTGACTGGAGCATTACTTGAGTCCAATCTCACATTTAGATCAGGCAGGCCTGGGATCCTTCTCAAAACTGGGTGCCTGCCAAAATAAATTTAGTGTTGACTTTTATATGAAATAAGTCACAGATTTCACTGCTGTTTTCTCAGAATGTCAAACAATTGTTTGATTTGAGGTTCGGTACACTTTGTCTGGATTCCCTCTCTGCAGCAAGCCGTGCATCCTGTGTCTAATTCATTCAAAACGCCTTCAAAAAGGTAACAGCTAAAGGCTGACACTAAATCAAGGCAAAAGTCTCTTCAGTGAAATTCATACCAATATCAGTTTAGATCATGACATCCCCCTACTACTGCTTTACTAGAATTGATCAAACAACTGAAATGCAAAACAAGATAATTCAAGTAAGGTACACATGCCGTGAAATGATCATTGAGACTATATGCAGTCTCATCTTTATTGAACTATTTAACTCTTATTTAAGGTATAGTTTCCAGGTTGATTCAATGTGAAATGGCACTGAATCAATGCAAAAAATGCAGTATAACATGTTTAAGATGAGATTTGAAGATACATGAAGAGGAGCAAGGCAGAGGGACAGAGGCAGGGAGTTCCAGAGGTTGGGGCACTTAGGAGCATTTGCAGAGCGAAACATTAATAACTTTAATGATAAATAAGCCAAAGCACATCGAGCTGGAGCAGGTGATGCAATATATGAATGTGAATGTATTCAGTCTCCGTTAAAGAAACA